GTCTTGCTGAGGATAACTCTGGCACCCTAAACCCTAAACCCTAAACCCCAAACCCTAAACCCTAAACCCTAAACCCTAAACCCTAAACCCTAAACCCTAAACCCTAAACCCTAAGCCCTAACCCCCAAGCCCTAAGCCCTAAGCCCTAAGCCCAAAGCCCTAAACCAGCCCAAATCTCTCGACTCCCCTAGTAGGCCTATGAGTCCGCATACTTCACGCAGGAAAAACAGGATTTACTGCATTACACAGGATTGTGCATATGTTCAGGATTTGTATGGAGCTGAAGGGCAGCAAAGCACCCCAAAGCAAGCTCGAACTCGAAATCCCGAGAAATGCGGATTTGTTGTTTCAACCTGGGGGTCTGGATTGTGTGTGCTCATGTCCGCAGAGTGGATCGACTCTGTTGAGGACTTAGCGCCTGGGGATTTCCGAGTTTCGGGCTTAGGGATCAGGTGTTTGGACCACTGGCCTAGATGTGTTGCTGTGGTCGCAAATCTGGAAATCCCCGCACTCCTGTTCGAAGCCCTCAAATTCCCAGCAGCTTCGTTTAGGTGCCACAACGAACATCCCTGAACCCTGTATCCTTTGCCCTGTAAATCCCGAAACCCTATTAACCCTAAAGACCCTATGCCTTGTAAACCCTACGCCCTTTTAACCCTCCACAGGCCCTGCACCCCATAAGCCCTATGACGTGTAAAACCCTCCACCCTGTACACCCTGCACAGGCCCTAGACCCTAGACCCTATAAAACCCTAAACCCTAAACCCTAAACCCTAGACTCTAAACCCTAAACCCTAAACCCAAAACCCTAAACCCCAAACCCCAAACCCCAAACCCCAAACCCTAAACCCTAAACCCTAAACCCAAACCCTAACCCTAAACCCTCAACCCCAAACCCTAAATCTCCTCCTTGCAGTGGAGGGATAAACCCTAAATCCTTGCCCTGTCAGATCCCGCCGCTCAAGGGCTACAGCCGGGCACGTACCAAGGCGCCAGGGCTTGATGGCCTTGAGGTTGTCAAGCTTCTGCCTTAGGGTTTCGGGTTTTAGGGTTTAGGGTCTAGGGTTTAGGGTTTAGGCCTTTTAGGGTTAGTTAGGGATCAGGGTTTTTAGGGAGCATTCTGCGGCAGGCGTGGGTGTTTGGTATTCTACGGCACAAGGGGCGAGCATCACATCGCAAGTTAGTCGGGAGTTAGTTGAGGAACACACCCGATAGTAAGTGTACCCTAATGGGGACATACTTGGGTTATAAGTACAGTTCTAGTTGGGTTACTAAGTACCATGAACCTCCAAGCAGGTGCTGACGCGCTATGGCAACGATGCCGCGTGCCTGACGGACGTGATGCGTGCCTCTGTCATCTACAGCAGCATTGAGGAGGACCGATACAAGCGTTGGGGTCTTCCTTTATGGGACAGGTCTTAAACCTTAAACCCTAATACCTTAAAACCCAAAACCCCAAACCTTGTTTCCTAAACCTTAGACCCTAAACCTTAAGCCCTCAATCTTACGTCCTAAGCCCCCAAGATGAACAAGTGCAGAGGCGGTCTATGTATGAGTACTGAAGACCAGGCAAGATAGGCGGAAGCCTCAGCGTGCTGGAAGCTTCTTGGGGTAGCTACATGGTCCCTTCTTACGGGCCCTTAAAAAGGGGACCCTTCATCTACCCCGTATATACTAGTATATACCCTATGCACATGAAGGGCCCAAACATCAGAACCCTTTAAAGGAGGTTAGGGAGCAGATTACAGGCCCATGAAACTACCCTGGAAGATTTAACATTACATTTGGTGTTCCCCATCGCTCTGCGACACATCTCGCCTCCTGCCACTCGAGTTTCAAACCCACTTGTATTGAGCTACACCCTGGCCCTAAACACAAAACCCTAAGCCCTAAACCCTGAACACTGAACCCTAAACCCTAAGCTTGCAATAACCCTAAGCCGTGAACAATATGCTGTATGCTCTGTCAACGACCTGCAGCTTCCTATGCCAGGCCTACAGCGCTCTGCATTTTCTACTCCGTGAGGATGGGCAGAACCCACGCAGCTCCTCCGCAAATGATGCGTCCCCGTAGAAACTGCAGAAAGGGTCCCTGAACTTTGCTTTCGAACAATGTGGGGGTTTGCGAAAAGAAGGGACCCCGATTATGGTCACACAAATAGTAGGATTCCCTTACAATAAGGACCCCTACTTTCGGAAACCACATATATAGTTTCCCTTGTCTGTACATGCACAACTCGGTGGCTAGGCTTGTCCGAGTAACGTGCCGCAGTCTTCAAACCTGTAAGGTTTGGGGTTCAGGGGTTTGGATCCAACTGGGCGAAACACAGCCTAAACACTGAACCCTAAACTAAAACCTAACCCCTAAACCCTAAACCCTAAACCCTAAACCCTAAACGTACAGCCTTGGCAGCAGCGGCTCCTTGTGTTTAGGTCACCGTCAACGGTTTGCTTCCTAGTCAAACCCATCCCCCCAAGGGTAGCTAGGTCAAGGGTTTAAGGGGGGCTTTTAGGGGGTTTAGGGTTTGGGTTTCGGGTTTGGGGTTTAGGGTTTAGGGTTTAGGGGTTTAGGGTTTAGGGTTTGGGGGGCTTCTAGGGTGTAGAGTTGAGGGCTTTGGGGCTTGTTTCGCCCAGTTGTATCTTGCAAACATATCTTTATGTTTGCTTGCTTGCAGCTTTTTGTGTCTCAGGGCCACAAGGCTCTACAACCCACTAAGGGGACGCTCGGGTTGATTTTTTCTTTGGGGGGGGGGGGGGGGGGGGGTGGGGAAGTTCCGAGGCCAGCAAGTCCTAGCAAACGGAAGCCCCGGAACCCTAAACCCTTTGAAGGGTTTAGGGTTTAGAGTTTAGGGCTTGTTTGGGACTTAGGGTTTAGGATTTAGGGTTTAGGCTTTCAGTCTTTAGCCCAGATCCCAACTTCAAATCCCAGACCCTAGGCCCTAAACCCCCCCCCCTCCTCATCCCATTCTTGCTTTTTGAAGACGAAGAAGGTTTCATAGTCAGAGTACTACTACCACGAATAGTAGCAAGAAGCAGATAGATACCACGTAAACAACCGACGACAAGCAAAAACCGGAACCGTAAACCCCAAACCCTAAACCCCAAACCCTAAACCCTAGCCCTAAACCCTAAACCCTAAACCCTAAACCCTAAACCCTAAACCCTAAACCCTAAACCCTAAACCCTAAACCCTAAACCCTAAACCCTAAACCCTAAACCCTAAACCCTAAACCCTAAACCCTAAACCCTAAACCCTAACCATAAACCCTAAACCCTAAACCCTAAACCCTAAACCCTAAACCCTAAACCCTAAACCCTAAACCCTAAACCCTAAACCCTAAACCCTGAACCCTGAACCCTGAACCCTGAACCCTAAACCCTAAACGCTAAACCCTAAACCCTAAACCCTGAACCAGAACCTCCTTAAAGCCTGGGAGGTCCAGACCTTGCGGTGGTCGAAGTGAACGACCGCTTTCAGAGTTGCTCCTGGGGCTGGGTTTAGGGTTTAGGGTTTAGGGTTTAGGGTTTAGGGTTTAGGGTTTAGGGTTTAGGGTTTAGGGTTTAGGGTTTAGGGTTTAGGGTTTAGGGTTTAGGGTTTAGGGTTTAGGGTTTAGGGTTTGGGTTTAGGGTTTAGGGTTTAGGGTTTAGGGTTTAGGGTTTAGGGTTTAGGGTTTAGGGTTTAGGGTTTAGGGTTTAGGGTTTAGGGTTTAGGGTTTAGGGTTTAGGGTTTAGGGTTTAGGGTTTAGGGTTTAGGGTTTAGGGCCCAGGGTTTGGGGTTTAGGGTTTACAGTTTAGGGTTTAGGGCCTAGGGTTTGGGGTTTAGGGTTTAGGGTTTAGGGCCTAGGGTTTGGGGTTTAGAGTTTAGGGTTTAGGGTTTCGGGTTTAGGGTTTCGCGTTTCGGGTTTGGGGTTTCGGGTTTAGGGTGGTTTGTGAGGGGATTGCGGAGTTTACGAGGGGGGTTTGCGCGGTTTACAGACTCGAGGTTCCGGGGTGCAGGGCTTTGGGGGGCTTACAGGGTGTTAGGGGTTTGGGCGGGATCTAGGGCTGCATGCCTTAGGCGTGGGGGGTTGGCGTCTTGGTCTTTGGGTTGAGTGCAGGAGTGTGGCAGGGTCCGGATCGGGGGGGTGTGGGATTTCGGGTCATGTGCGTCTGGCGCCCTAAACCCTAAACCCTAAACCCTCAACCCTCAACCCTCAACCCTAAACCCTAAACCCTAACCCCAAGGCGAGGCGGTTGGGGGGCTAGGCTTCAGATCGCCAAGGCGAGCTGAGATGATGGAGGGCTTTTTCGAACTCGGGCCGAAATGTTGAGCAAGGGGGGTCTGCGTCCCCTAAACCCTAAACCCTAAACCCTAAACCCTCATGGAATGGGGACGGAGAGAGGTCGGGACGGCTACCGCGACATTAGCCTCCTCTTCGACATGCCCCTTGGCGTCAACATGCTCACTGCCGGAGAGGGTTCGGCCTCCTTTGATGTCTTGGTGGCCCAGGGGTGCCCCTTTCCCTTTTTTTGGTTCAAGGTTCTCTTATGATAAAGTAGCCCACCCCCGAAAGGGTACCCTACCTGTTTTTTTAGAACATGGTTACTGGGCTACGAAGATGTACCGCTTGGGGTTCGCGACTCGTGGCATCCACACATCCTACATGTAGTCTCAGACGCTGTGAGAACACAGATAAGACCGTATGAGACACCCCAAAAAGCCACCATGATTGGGACCCCAAACCCTGAACCCCAAACCCTAAACCCCAAACCCTAAGCCCTAAGCCCTAAGCCCTAAACCCTAAACCCTAAGAACTGACCACATAGGGCTTGAGAGCAGTGGTTCAGGGGCTGCCTTGGCTTGAAAGGGCTTCGGGCCACCCGGAGACCTGGGAAGCAAGATCCCTGAACCCTAACATTTTCTTCGGCCTTAATCTATGAATGGCTTAAAAGAGCCACCCAAAAAATTTAAGAATATTCTTCCTTACAAGGGCAATATAGGGATTATTTGTTTGTTTTTTTTTTTTTTTTTTTTTTATTCTTTTGGGGTTCTTAAGCAAATAGTAACGGTGACCCATCGTAGACAGGGATGGTACATTTCTAACGGTGTGTTGTAGCTGTGTAATTATATATACATATATAACATATTATATACAACCCTAAACACAAAAAACATATATATATATATAAACATATATATATATATATGGACTATACAGGGGTTGAATTCACCAGCAACGGCCCCCAGGAGCGGTGTCATTTGCGAGTTGCAGCTGCACATCCGGGGCATCATCGACGCTTCTCCCAAGAGTGCAGGGAAGACCTGTTGCTGGTTTAGGGTTTTAGGGTTTTTGGGTTTAAGGGTTGAAGGGTTTTAGGGTTTTTAGGGTTTTAGGGTTGTAGGGTTTTAGGGTTGTAGGGTTTTAGGGTTTTAGGGTTTTAGGGCTGTAGGGTTTTAGGGTTTTCCGGGCTTTAGGGTTTTTTATTCTTGAGAAGTATTTCCAAGGATTTGGAGGCTGGATGGAAGGCTCTGGAGTCTATCCATGGCCACATCGTGGAAGCCCCCCAAACCCGAAGCATCCCCAAGCCCGTAGACGCAATGTAGGGCAAGGAATACCCTAAACCCTAAACCCGAAACCCCAAACCCTAAACCCTAAACCCTAGACCCTAGACCCTAAACCCGAAACCTGAAACCCTTGTAGGGTTTGCTGGGCACCTGAGGATGCTAAAAAGACCGGTGGCCACAAAGCCTACCGAGCAGCTTGGCATCAGGATTCTAGCTGGAAACCAGGAAGCACCGCCACGGAAAGGAGAGAAGTGGGAAGGGGTTTAGGGTTTAGGGTTTAGGGTTTAGGGTTTAGGGTCTAGGGTTTAGGGGCTGCCGAAAGGCAGCGACACTCACTTTCCAGCAGCTCAAGAGCAGCGGCAGCGTCCGGCACCCCCGACGCCCCCTCCCCCCCGTGATCCCTAAACCCTAAACCCTAAACCCTAAACCCTAAACCCTAAACCCTAAACCCTAAACCCTAAACCCTAAGCCTGAACCTCTCTTCGGTGACAACTTTACAGTGGGTCTTGGGGAGGGGGGAGGGGGAGGGGTAGTCGGAGAGTCAGTAGGCTGCAGCGTTTGATGCCCTGGGTCTCTCGGGAGCGCTTTGCAGTTCATGTTCTCTCTGCCTACTTCCCAAAAGTTCTGGAAGAAGTACGCAGTTTTTCTACCAGGCTCCTACGGGAAATGTAAAAGCCCCGAAGACCCCAAATCCTAAACCCTAAACCCTCAACCGCCTCAACCCTAAACCCTAAACCCTCAACCCTCAACCCTAAACCCTAAACCCTAAACCCTAAACCCTAAACCCGAGCCATCCTTCGAGGTTCAGAGGGAGGTCAATGAGCTTATCTTCGAGGCGGCCGTGCAGAACAGTGCGCAGGCACCGATCTCAGGGTTGTTCGGATCGTTCGAAGTTTGGTTTAGGGGTGTTTAGGGTTTGGACTTGAGGGGGTTTAGGGATCTTGGGTCCCTAAACCCTAAACCCTAAACCCTAAACCCTAAACCCTAAACCCTAAACCCTAAACCCTAAACCCTAAACCCTAAACCCTAAACCCTAAACCCTAAACCCTAAACCCTAAACCCTAAACCCTAAACCCTAAACCCTTGGGTTAAGGGGTGACATGAATGCACATGCTTTGCGTGGTCGCAGAGGCGGAGAGGGCCGCAGTCCTTCGGGGAATTCTTCTTGGCCCTTTGTGGCCCAACTTTTGGTCGTTTGAGTGCAGTAGTGCGCAAAGAACCGTACCACTCATGTAAGGTAGTTTGGGACGTCCCCCCTTTATACTGACAGTCCTTAGTAGGGATTATCGTACCCCCATCGTACCCCCCTATTCTGAACCCCTATTAAGGACTGTGAGTATAAGAGGGAACATCCCAAAGCGCCAGTGTTGGTTGGTTTCTTGTGGCGCTTGGTGCAGGATCTGTCTAACCTCATGAAGGCGTACGACATCCGCCGACACGGAACTCGCGACAAGCATCTCGACCTACCAAAGCCCGCTGCACCCTAAACTAATGTATATAGGAGCCTGAATAAATGGAATATATTTTTGTTTTGTGTGGGTATTTTGGAATACTTATAAAGGGACCATAAGGGAATATTTTTAGTAACTATTCCGACCCCTATATTGATCTAAGCCCCAATGCCTAATAGAATACGATTGTTACTATTACTACGACAATTGCTTTTTATGACCATGAGTAGCATAGTACTATGAGCAGGGCTCTGACACCCTCAGCGGCTTGCAAAGTACCCTGCGTTACGTACCAGGCTGTTCAGCTGAAGCCGCGGTCCTCGAGCCTGCGTAAGGTGTTCTGAACACTAGATAGGGTTTAGGGTTTAGGGTTTAGGGTTTAGGGTTTAGGGTTTAGGGTTTAGGGTTTAGGGTTTAGGGTTTAGGATTTATGGTTCAGGGTTTAGGGTTTAGGGTTGCGGGTTGAGGTTGAAGGTTTAGGGTTTAGGGTTTAGGGTCTAGGGTCTAGGGTCTAGGGTCTAGGGTTTAGGGCAATATGCATAGCATAGCACAGCCTGCAAACCAGGGTGCATGCAGAAGGTATTTGGTGCAGCCATGTTAGCATAAAAAACCTGGTCAAGGTTAATTTGGGAGAGGCGCCGTTCCGTGACAGCGTCGCCCGAAGGAATTAAGCACAACTCAGTCAAACAGTCGCCCATTAAGCTTGTACATTTCTGGCCTTTGCTGTTCTCGATGATGGCCTATCGTGCCGCTGCTGCTACCGCAATATCGGCAGTTGCAGTTCTGACAAGACATGTCAGGTTCTCCTTGTCCTAAACCCTAAACCCTCAACCCTAAACCCTAAACCCTAAACCCTAAACCCTAAACCCTAAACCCTAAACCCTAAACCCTAAACCTTGAAGTCGAGCATCTGACAGTAGACGTGTTTCAGCCCAACCAGGAATGGCCGTTCCTCTCTTCACTACGCTGCGCAGCATGGCTCCCTGAGCTCGGCACGAATTCTACTCGCATCCGGGTGCGCAGGGGTTAGGGTTTAGGGTTTAGGGTTTAGGGTCTAGGTTTAGGGTTTAGGGTTTGGGTTAATAGGGCTTAGGGTTCACGTCAACCTTAAACCCTCAACCCTCAACCCTCAACCCTGAACCCTCAACCCTCAACCCTCAACCCTCAACCCTCAACCCTCAACCCTCAACCCTACCCCAACCCTAAACCCTAAACTCCACCACACGACCCAAGCCCCCCTACAAAGCTACTCCCGCAGGAGCGACCCCTGGGGTGCAGACGACTCGGGCGTCGCTCGCCCAGCCCATGGTACCTCAATCTCTCGGGTTTAGGATGTAGGGTTTAGGTTTAGGGTTTAGGGTTTAGGGTTTAGGGTTTAGGGTTCAGGGTTCAGGGTTCAGGGTTCAGGGTTCAGGGTTCAGGGTTCAGGGTTCAGGGTTCAGGGTTCAGGGTTCAGGGTTCAGGGTTTAGGGTTGGGAGGGTTGAGGGTTGCAGGTTGCGAGGGTATTTTGGGTTTAGGGGTTCGGGCTTAGTGCCCCAAGGCCCGAAGCCACTGAAACCCCCGTGCAATAGGTGGTGGAGTCTCCGTATCCTTGCAGTCGAAAGCTCTTAGGTGAGGGAGCTAGGCTTCAGGGGCTTAGAGTGTTTAGGGAGAGAAGATGCTTGCCATCTTGGACGTAGAGCTGCAAACCCTAAACCCCTAAACCCCTGAACTCCTGAACCCCTAAACCCCTGAACCCCTGAACCCCGAAACCCCTACACCCCCTGAACTTCTGAACCCCTAAGCCCCTGAACCCCTGAACCCCTAAACCCCTAAACCCCTGAACCCCCAAACCCCTACACCCCAAAGCCCCTAAGCCCCCGACCATCAGAGTAGCCGCAGAGCCACGCCACCAAGGTGCTTCCCTTGGAAGTCGCCTTGAAACTTACTTCGCCTTCAGTTAAACTTTAAATCTTTTGGGTTTCCTGATTTAGTAGGAATATTAAGGTTTAACCTTTTTTTTACCCTTGGTTATTGGAGAAGTAAGGAAAGGCAAGCACTTCGAAGCCGCGTGCATGTTGCTTGCCAGCATGCTCCAGCAGGACAGGGTTGAGGGATTGGGGCAGGGTCTGGGGGTTGGGGTTTAGGGTTTAGGGTTTAGGGTTTAGGGTTTAGGGTTTAGGGTTTAGGGTTTAGGGTTTAGGGTTTAGGGTTTAGGGTTTAGGGTTTAGGGTTTAGGGTTTAGGGTTTAGGGTTTAGGGTTTAGGGCCTTGATTAGGGTCTCGGGTGTAGGGCTGAAGGGTTAGGGTCTAGGGAATCAGGGCCGCAGGGTTTGTGGTTTATGCGTGACCCTGCAGGCAATGCTCGCGTTGAGCGCAGCCATGCGGGTCAAAATGCGCAACCCTAATTGCCATCATGCTCAAGAGGGAAACTCGAGAGAGTTGGTGTGACGTTTCTTCGTTGGCTTATGTGCTGGCCCTTTCAGCGTCGGAAAGGTTACATGGTCCCTTAATCTTGTCCCATACTCTGAAGGATGGGCCCTTACCTGGGTCCCCGTTTAAGGGCCCATATGAAGGAACCATGCAACTCCCCTTAGAAGCGTCTTGGCTTCTGTGTCGCAGTGGCGTTCTTGACAGATCATGAAATCCCTTACAAACCGATCTACAAAGTGGGACCCCCCCCCCCCTCCCCAAATCCCAAATCCCAAATCCCTAATCCCTAAACCCTAAACCCTAAACAGCCCTACACCCCAAATCCGAAATCGAGCCCTCGCATCTCTTGCCTCTGGAGGAGCCTGCCAGTCGCGGCTGCTTGGCACGCCTGGCTCAGCAGATCGTGCCTCTGGCCCATGAGGGTTTAGGGTTTAGGGTTTAAGGGTTTAGGGTTTAGGGTTTAGGGTTTAGGGTTTAGGGTTGTCGGATTCCAATGGATTCCAGGCTACCTGGGAAATGTTGAGTGTCCCAAAGGTCTTGTTTAGAACACTTTCTTGTAAGGTCCAGCCTCGATTTGGGTCCCTGTTTGGGGACCTCTTTCTCCCCACCCTCTGAGTGATTTGAACTGTGCCCTTCCTCTCACATGGGTTTCTGGACCGAGGTCCTCCCCAGGTGCAACCATTACAGAGTATCCCTCAAGTTGCTTTAGAGTCTTCAGGGTGGGCACCCTGCAAAGTAATTGGCAGAAGTCTGATTAGAAAAGACTGTCAGTCACCCTCGGCCCAAGCATCCTGCTCCCGAGTGATGTCTAAGCGCGTGAGAATGAACCCTACGGGATGTCGACGCTATTCAGGCTTACAAAGAACGGAGGGAGATGCTGAAGACGCGATATTCAGACCCAACCCTAAATCCTGTTCCCCGCAGCCCGAATTGCAAACTCAGAGGCCCATCGATTGCTGCTCGTACTCTCAAAAAGAAACCCAGAGGTTTCAACTCGAAGCCCTTTGCATAATATAGAGAATATGTTCTATATGTATAGAGCACAACATGTGTATGTATATATATATATAGTATGTGTATATACATATATATGGTACCCCCCCCCTGGAGAATCTACCTCCAAAGGGTGGGGGTTTAAGACACCTGTAGCTTTTTCGTATCGGGTTGAAGATACCTCTAACGCTTTCGTATAGATTCTTACCCTCTCATCTTCAACAAGATTCGCATTTCAATCTCTACATGATGAGAGTTTCAGATTTCCATATCCAGAGGATGAGGTATAAGAGTTTGTCTTTTGCTGCTTAGAAGCAGTTGGGTTGCTTATAAGCAGTCGGGTTGCTTAGGTGGGGGGGGGGGAGGGGGGGGGGGGGGGGGGCGATGGGTTTTCCAACTTGGCCTTGGGCCCTGTGGTACCCCCCCCCCCCCCCCCCCCCCCCCCCCCTCCCCACCCCCCCCCCCCCCCCCCCTTGCCCCCCCCCCCCCTTTTTCCCCCCCCCCCCCCCCCCCCCCCCCCCCCCCCCCCCCCCTCCCTCCGCTCCGCTCCGCTCCCGCTCCAGCTCCAGGGTTTTTTTCTTAAGGTTAAGGGTTGTTTGGGCTGGGCTTGTCTCTAAAACCCTATCGGGGTTAAGGCTTTAAGGCTTTAAGGATTTAAGAGAAGCCCCGACACCCTACAGGTTTAGGGTTTTAATCGCTATGCCTTAAACCTATAGGATCTAGGGCTACACCTTAAACCCTACACCTTTAAACCCTATGGGGTTTCAAGGTTAAGCAACTAAACTTAACCCTTAACCTTTAAACCCTATAGGGTTAAGGTTTAAAGGTTTAGGGTGTAAGATGTAAGGATTTCAAATCTAAGCCGGAAATTAAACCAAAACCCTTAACTTTTAAACCCTACAGGTTTAAGATTCAGGCATTTAACCGGCAATTGAACCTAAGCCCTTAACCTTTAAACCCTATAGGTTTAAGGTGTAAAGGTTCAGGGTTTAATTAAGACTCATGCATTCAAACCTAAGCCCATAGAGTTTAAACCTTAAGTGTTTAAGGTTTAGACATTTCAACCTCACCCTAAACCCTTTAGGGTCAGAACCCTAAAACCCTATGAAGGTTCCAAGGTCTTAACCCTAAAGGCGCTAAAAGTATAAATGCCCAGACCTTAGGTTTTGAAGGCGAATGAAGTTTAGGAATTTAGCCTTGAGGTTTAGGCATTACAATCTGCAAGCCCCATAGGATTTTACAGGTGCAAGATCTAGTGATTAAAACCTAAGGCTTGGGCATTCAATCTGTAACCCTAAAGGCTTGAACCTTAAACCCTATAGAGTCCCTATAGGGTTAGGTATTTAAACCGAATAGGTGGCCTTTAAACTCTATAGGTTTAAAGGTTTAGGGTTTAGGTTGAAATATTTAAACCCTATAGGATGTAAAGCTTTAGGGTTATTCAGGGTGTATCTCTAGAACCCTATCGGGGCTAGCCCTTATAGGGTTTAAACCCTACATGGTTTACCCTTTTGTGGTTTAAGACTTAGGAATTTAAAAATCGTAACCCGAAACCTTGTAGGGTTTTAACCCCTTTACTGTTTCAACGACAAACCCTGAAGCCTTACAGGGCTCACGTTTAGAATCCTTAAACCCTAAACCCGCTAAACCCTACAGTAACAGAACCTTGTAACCCTATAGGGTTTGAGATCTACCTTTTCAGGTAATCTTGGATCTTGGATGGGTTTAGGGTTTAAGGTTTAGGGTTTAGGGTTGAGTGATGGTACCCCCCCCCCCAATCTTATGGTTCGAGGCGTACCGTCCTTCCTTCTCCATTATCTGCAATTGATATACAGTACATATACCCTATATACATACATGATGTGGGCACTTATCCTACTTTGTCTTTGCTTTTCCTAGCCCTATGGGATTTAAAGTTCAAGAGTTTAAGCCTCAAACCCTATAGGGTTACAAGGTTCTGTTACTGTAGGGTTTAGCGGGTTTAGGGTTTAAGGATTCTAAACGTGAGCCCTGTAAGGCTTCAGGGTTTGTCGTTGAAACAGTAAAGGGGTTAAAACCCTACAAGGTTTCGGGTTACGATTTTTAAATTCCTAAGTCTTAAACCACAAAAGGGTAAACCATGTAGGGTTTAAACCCTATAAGGGCTAGCCCCGATAGGGTTCTAGAGATACACCCTGAATAACCCTAAAGCTTTACATCCTATAGGGTTTAAATATTTCAACCTAAACCCTAAACCTTTAAACCTATAGAGTTTAAAGGCCACCTATTCGGTTTAAATACCTAACCCTATAGGGACTCTATAGGGTTTAAGGTTCAAGCCTTTAGGGTTACAGATTGAATGCCCAAGCCTTAGGTTTTAATCACTAGATCTTGCACCTGTAAAATCCTATGGGGCTTGCAGATTGTAATGCCTAAACCTCAAGGCTAAATTCCTAAACTTCATTCGCCTTCAAAACCTAAGGTCTGGGCATTTATACTTTTAGCGCCTTTAGGGTTAAGACCTTGGAACCTTCATAGGGTTTTAGGGTTCTGACCCTAAAGGGTTTAGGGTGAGGTTGAAATGTCTAAACCTTAAACACTTAAGGTTTAAACTCTATGGGCTTAGGTTTGAATGCATGAGTCTTAATTAAACCCTGAACCTTTACACCTTAAACCTATAGGGTTTAAAGGTTAAGGGCTTAGGTTCAATTGCCGGTTAAATGCCTGAATCTTAAACCTGTAGGGTTTAAAAGTTAAGGGTTTTGGTTTAATTTCCGGCTTAGATTTGAAATCCTTACATCTTACACCCTAAACCTTTAAACCTTAACCCTATAGGGTTTAAAGGTTAAGGGTTAAGTTTAGTTGCTTAACCTTGAAACCCCATAGGGTTTAAAGGTGTAGGGTTTAAGGTGTAGCCCTAGATCCTATAGGTTTAAGGCATAGCGATTAAAACCCTAAACCTGTAGGGTGTCGGGGCTTCTCTTAAATCCTTAAAGCCTTAAAGCCTTAACCCCGATAGGGTTTTAGAGACAAGCCCAGCCCAAACAACCCTTAACCTTAAGAAAAAAACCCTGGAGCTGGAGCGGGAGCGGAGCGGAGCGGAGCGGAGGGAGGGGGGGGGGGGGGGGGATCTTCAATCCGATACGAAAAAGCTACAGGTGTCTTAAACCCCCACCCTTTGGAGGTAGATTCTCCAGGGGGGGGGTACCATATATATGTGTGTGTGTACCTATATGTACAGACATATATATGTATGGAAACCCAACCCTTGAAGTTAGTTCGAGCACCCCTCCCCTCCGGCCATCAAGTCGCCACAACCCACAGCAGAGGTTCCCTGGTGGTGCGGAAACATCGCGGCTGGGGCAGGGTTTAGGGTTTAGGGTCTTGGGTTTAGGGTTTCGGGTTTAGGGTTGAGGGTTTAGGGTTTATGAACATCAAGGGACTCAAGGAGGAAACCCCTACAAGGGACCTTAGGGGTTCTTTCGGGGTTACTTAGGGGCTAGGTTGTTGGGCTTCGAAGCTCTGGTGGCGTGGACAGAACCGACCCTAGAAAGTAGTAGGCCATGCTACATGCGTGCTTGTAGAGGGTTACGGGGTGTATGCATGTATGTGTGTATGTATGTATGTATGTATGTATGTACGTACGTAAGTATGTATGTATACATACATACATACATACATTCATAAATATATTCCTACATACCTACTTGTATATACCTACACATGTATCGGTGCATGTACACCAGACACATGTGTAGGTAATGAAGGTAGATACAGAGAGAAAACAAGAGTACAACCCAGAAGTCCGGAATCCAAGGGCGCAAAGCCAGAGCGGGAAGTAGCACATGGAACCCCAGCTCGAGAATGGTTGGGGTTCAGGGTCAAACTCGGCTCCCCCCGGAATCAAGGTCTCCCTTCCGTTCGCGGCTCCCGATCTGATCCACTGGCGCGACATAGGACCGGGTCGGGAAAGGTGTGGGTGCAGGGCTGAGAGTTGCGCAGCCAAAAGATGGAGTCGTGCCAGGAACATGAGAGTGAGATTTTGTCCGTGGAACTCCTGGTGCCGCAGAGCAGCCTTTGCCGAGCTAGACCTCGCCTAGATCATCCTAGATCCGCGACCTGCAAATTTCTTGCTTCAAGGCCTTTATCTGTTTTCAGAGGGAAAAAAATCTGAGCCGCTTGAGTGCTTGAGGCCGTAGACCTTGTCCGTCAAGTTCAATGCCGCATAGACCTGCCTCACGATGGCTCACGAACTTGCCCCGATGCCGGGCCTGACGGCCAGGACGGCTGATGATGGATGTCCTGCGCAGATACAAGGCCTGCTACATCAGCGAGAAGAAGCCACGGAGCCTTCTCCCTTTGGCCGCCCTAGGTTCTAGGGCCTAGGGGATTTAGGGCTGCCCCAGCGGTAGACCCCAGTCCAAACTAAGTTCACTTCGAGCTGTATTAAGATCTTCTACGCAAGAGAAGGTCAAAGAGAGTGAGTCCACGTGGCCCCTGAAACTCATTTCAAGCCCACGCCTTGAAACAGCTTGCCGTTTGCAGCCTGAACGCCCCAAGATGTTTTGAGCCCTGCAACATCTGATGCAGGTCCTCAAACCAAATTGTGCAACCATTCACAAGATTTTCCGCAGACTCGACTCGAAACCAACCCGAAACCCGAAACCCTAACCCTAAACCCTAAACCCTAAACCCTCAACCCTCAACCCTAAACCCTAAACCCTAAACCCTACACCGGCAAAAGGCCATCAACCTCCTCGACGATGTGCTCACTGCCCAAGCGAAGAGGGGCGCGGCGGCGACGCTGTCACCCGGCAAGGGTGCGCGGGTGCTCGTGCGGCTTTAGGGTTTAGGGTTTAGGGTTTAGGGTTTAGGGTTTAGGGTTTAGGGTTTAGGGTTCAGGAGTCACCTGTGGGCTGGAAAGCTGCCGGGTTGCATCGTAGGCTTCAGGTCTGGCTTGAGCAGGTTGCAGAGTCTGCGTTTAGGGCTCAGGGCTTCGTATTAGAGGAGCCTGCATTGAATTCTTGGGCTTACACCCTAAACCCTAAATCTGAGCCAGCTAACAAAAGCATAAACAAGTAAATACTTGGCAGCCGAGTGGTACCCGTTACCCTTTTTTTGGTTCAAGGTTCCCTTCTAAAGTAACCAACCCAGAAATGGTGCCCTGATTTAATAGATGGTTACTGGGCTACCAAGAGTAAACAAAAGCAAAAGAAGACTAGGTGAAGCCACGCTGCGTGTGAGCTCGGTGTGAGTAAGGCGAGCGCTTCTCGCTGCTGGGGCGGAGCCTCGTCTTCGGGGCTTAAGGGCTTGGGGGTTTATTGTTTAGGGTTTTGGGTTTAGGGGTCAGGGGTTTATACGGGTTTAGGATGCAGGGGCCCTGAACACCTCAGCCCGCGCCCAATGCGCAGGCCCTGATGTCTTGTAAAATCAGCCATACTGCAAGAGCCCACCCCAAACCCCCCCTATATCGCCCCTGTACCCCCTTATTCCCCCCCCCCCCCTTTAGCCTATTTCAGGCCCCTTGGTAAACTTCACGAGCTGATCCGAGCCTTATGAGCTCGCCGAATACCTCAGACCCCACACCCCAAACCATCCCGAACCCCTCTCCCGCTGTTCAAAGTTTATTTAGGGTTTAGGGTTTAGGGTTTAGGGTTTAGGGTTTAGGGTTTAGGGTTTAGGGTTTAGGGTTTAGGGTTTAGGGTTTTATTATTTAGGGGTTAGGGTTCAAGGTGTAGGTTTATAGGGTTTTTATGGCCCAGGGGTCTGGGGGGAAGAAAAAAAAACCTCCGCCTGGTCTTGGGGGGTGAGAGCCTATTTGGAACCCCAGAGCTCCCCCGCAAAGCTGCCAGACAGAAGAACGCGAGCCGAGGGTTTAGTTTAGGGTTTAGTTTAGGGTTCGTGAGGCAAACGGTTTACGGGCTTACTGGTTTTAAGCGTCAGATTAGAGTTTGAGAGAACGTATGCGTTATTGACACATTGACCCTGTCTGCTGGAAGTCGAGGACTTCAAGATGAATGGAATAACCTTAGACCCTAAACCCCTATAAGAGCCGGAGCACGTCCGAGCAATCAAGCGTACAGGGCTCCTACACCCTAAACCCTAAACCCTGAGCCGTCAGGCTTGGTTGTGTCATCCGATAGAGAGACCCTAGGCCCAGAAAACCTGAGTTTTTCAAGACCCAGGAGGCCTGAAGCCCACAGCCACCGCATCCCGTAACTCCGGGGTCGGGGGTCGGGGGTTTAGGGTTTAGGGTTTAGGGTTTAGGGTTTAGGGTTTAGGGTTTAGGGTTTAGGGTTTAGGGTTTAGGGTTTGGGGTTTAGGGTTTAGGGTTTAGGGTTTAGGGTTTGGGGTTACCGCGCTCCTAGGATCAAGTTCTTGGGAGTGGAAAAGAGTCGCTGAATCTCGTCGGAAATGGAGTTGAAGGTTCGGAAGCGTCGTAGGGTCTAGGGTTCAGGGATCCCTATTCAGGGACCTTAGGGGTTATTTAGGGATTATGTAGGGGCTACTCAGGTATTTAGGTCTAAATTCTAAATTCTAGAACGTAAAAGCGTCCCAAAAGTTTTCGTGAGCTACGTGGCTCAAACCCTAAGCCCTAAACCCTAAGCCCGAAGCCCCAAGCCCTAAACCCTAAGCCCTAGCGCCTTCGGGGTTATTTAGGGGCTACATAGGTATGCGGACTATACATTTCGGTGCGTAGGGAGTTCCACAAAGTATAACCCTAAACCACCCTAAACCCTAAACCCAAACATGTACATAAGGGTGGGTGGGGGGGGGGGGGGTTATAGAGGTCAAGGGGTTACAGAAGGGACCTGTGCAAGGGATCGCAGGAGTATACGCAGGGGCTACTTCGGTATACAGGGACTCTAAGTCATAGTACCTAGGGCCCCTACTTAGGGGTTATCTAGGGGCTACTTCGGAAGACAGGGACTACATAAGGAACATATGGGGGTCATATAGAGGAATCAGCTGAAGGGTCCCTTCTATCCTAAGATCGCTTGAAATGGGGTAGTAGGGCCCTTGCAAACCCTAACGTCCAAAGAGTAGGGTTGTAGCATGCGTTCCACCTCATCCGGATAAGGGTTGAAGAGGGTTAGGGTTTAGGGTTTAGGGCCAAGCCAGGTTGTTTTGGGAGCCCCTTTCCCCCCCCCCCCCGTTCCAAATAACAGTCAAATAGACGATTCGAAGCACGAAAAGGGACCTTGTGAACCAAGACCCTGAAGACCCCCACCTTAAACTCTAAACCCCAAACGCTTGAAAGGCCTACACCTCAAACCCCAACACCTAAACCCCCAAACTCTAAGACTCTAAGCACTAAACCCTAAACCACGTCGAGCCCTAAGCTGAGCCTTATCCTCAGGTGTGACTATGCCCTGAGAACGGGTCAGATTGACTTGGTGAAGATGTGCCTCGTCCGACACTTTCTGGTTGATGAGGTTGGCAGGGCTCAGGTTTGTTTAGGGTTTATAGGGTTTGCAGGGTTTAGGGTTTAGAGGGTTTGTAGCGTTTGCAGGGTTTATACTTGGAGGTTCAGGGTACTAATAATTGCTGCAATTCTGACTGCCCTGAGATGCCCCCTGAAGTCCTTAGAAAAAGGTCCTAGGTAGACCGAAACTTGGGGTTATACGTACCCATGAACTACGGGTTTCCCTAAACCCTAAACCCTAAACCCTAATCCCTAAACCCCAAACCCTAAACCTTAAATTGGGCGGGGCTTTTCGGGGTGTAGGGGCGGCCCGAAAGCTCCCATACCTCGACCCCCAGGTTCGTGTCTTGTTCATTCTGGGTGCTTCGTTATCTTCTGGCAGCTATATCCGTTTTGGGCTTAGGGCTGAGCTGTGAAATGAGGTACCTCCAAAAGCCATGCAACGACAATTGGGCCCACATAACGAGCCCAGAAGACTCCAAAGCCCGATAGCCTAAACCCTAAACCCTAAACTTAAACCCTAAACCCCAAACCCCAAACCCCAAGCCCTAAACCCTAAACCCCAAACCCTAAACCCTAAACCCTAAACCCCAAACCCTAAACTTAAACCCTAAACCCTAAAGCCCGATAGCCCAGAGAGGCTGGTTTGCATGCGCCTGGGGGATGGCACACCGGTGGCAGCCCACTGCTACAAGGAGCCTAAGGATGTCTTTTTCAGGGGTTTCAGTTTTCCATGGGGGGGGTGGGGGGGGTGGGGGGCTTTGGTACCCTAAACCCTAAACCCTAACGGGGCGCTCGCTTTCGCCCGGTTTAGGGTTTAGGGTTCAGGGTTCAGGGTTTAGGGTTTAGGGTTTCAGAGCTGCTCGGAGAACTTCTCGGTTCTTTCAGTTCAGTTTTTGCCGACAGTCGAGGGCAGAATACCGATAAGCTTGCCCCCAGGGAAACCCTTCATCCTGCAACCATCAACCCTTAATAATCACCGTAAGAACCCGAACCCTACGCCCTTAGCGTGGTGCGCTCATCGCGGCGACGACTGTCCCGATCTCAGGGTTTAGGGCTTTAGGGAAGAGGCTGCCGCTCGCCATCTCCGCCCTTACCCTCAACCCAAAACCCTAAACCCTAAACCCCCAAACACAGGAAAAACAATTCTTGCGGGGAAAGGGGGTTATAAGGCCTCAAACGCGAGCCGAAGCTTGCTAGCCTACTCAGCCCTAAGCTCGAAACCCGGGTACTGGTTCGGACCGCAGGGTTTAGGGTTTAGGGCTTAGGGTTTAGGGCTTAGGGCTTAGGGCTTAGGGCTTAGGGTTTAGGGCTTAGGGCTTAGGGTTTAGGGCTTAGGGTTTAGGGTTTAGGGTTTAGGATCTCTGTGGGTCTAGGGAGTCTACTGCCCATGTCGTGTGAGGAGTCGGTGCACTCACACCTGAAGATGGCGGCAAAGTCGCAAGATTCGGCCTACGCCAAGGCCTTCTCTGCTAGGGTAGTAACATGGTCTCTTCAGCTGATGGGGCCTGAAGTGGGTAACCCTTATATATATATATGTATATATATACAGAAATATATATATATATGTCTATATATATATATATATTTATTTATTTATTTATATATTTATATTTATATATTTATATAATTATATTATTATTTATATTTATATTTATGTTTATATTTTTGGTTATTTATTTATTTGTCTCTAGTATTATTACATTTATTTATATTTATATGTATTTATATATATATATAGATATCGCTTGGCATCTATACATAATATATACATGTATATGTTTATTCTTTTATGTATTTATATACACCTTATATTCCCTAGAAACCCTTTTATAGAAAGGTAACAGGGCCATGTTAAGGGACCATGAAACTACGCCAGCTCGGGAACTGCACAGAGGGACCCTGGCGGGCTTAGGGTCCATGTACCCTAGTATAAGGGTTTAGGGTTGAGGGTATAGGGTTTAGGGTGTAGGGCTTGGGATTTAGGGTTTAGGGTAGTAGGGATTTGGGCTGGGCTTTGTAGCGTCTAGGCTTTGTAAGGTTTTTCATTGTATGGTTTAGGGTTTCAATCCTGATCTGCTTAAACCCTCAACCCTATGTGGGTTTGGGTCCTAAAGTAGTGGTACCTCTTCCCAAACAAAGCACAATCCTCAAACCCTAAACTCTAAACGCCCCCCAAAATTGGTCACCCCCAAGTCTTTGAGAAGTGTCGTGGAGATGCGAAGGCAGCCCTTGCAGCCTCAGCCGATCCTCGTCAGATGTCCGCGCGAAGCGTTGGCAAGAGGACGTCTTTTGTGGAACGGCTCTGAACCGTCTAGGGCTTAGGGTTTAGGGTTAAGCGTTTGGGGTTTAGGGTTTAGGGTTTAGCGTCTAGGGTTTGGGGTTTAGTGTTTAGGGTTCCATCAAAAGCCAGTCAAGCCTTTAGCTACATTCCGCGCAGCCTCGGAGTGCTCGGAGGCAGAGCTCGACCTTCTCAAAACGACTTCTAAAGATGAAGCAGCGTGTGATAAAGTTTGTTCATGGTCAAGGTTTAGATGAGAAGTTCAAAGCCCACTTCTACGGTATCCGGACCCGCAGAGAAGCCCCTAAGTCGATGGATGTCGGCTTGGCTTCGGAACCCGAAGCCCTAAACCCTATAACCCTATAACCCTAAACCCTAAACCCGAAACCCTAAAACCCTAAACCCTAAAACCCTAAACCCTAAAATCTAAACCCTAAACCCTAAACCTTCGGCAAGACTCGCAGGACGCCCCTCATGTGTTTTGCGGCCGCAGGGGACCTCGAGGTCGTTCAGGTGCGTGGCTTAGGGTTTAGGGTTTTGGGTTTAGGGTTTAGGGTTTAGGGTTTAGGGTTTAGGGTTTAGGGTTTAGGGTTAGGTTTGGGTTTCAGGGTTTAGGGTTTAGGTTTTTCAGGGTCTTGGGTTTCAGGGTTTAGAATTCGGCTTCACAGGCTTTAGGGTTTAGAGGTTTCAGTCTCCGGGCCATGCGGTCTTGACTTCCTTAACCCCTATACTGAGTACAACCATGAACCCTGAACCCAAGCACATAAACCCTAAACCCTAAACCCTAAACCCTAAACCCTAAACCTTAAACCCTAAACCCTAAACCCTAAACCCTAAACCCTATAGCTGAGCAGATACACGAAGTTGAAGGAGCGCGGCCTGACCTCCGCCCGTGCCCAGAGCTACAGGACTGCTCGACCAGTCCGTGCACGATGCGAGGTATCGTAAGGCGTCAAGAAGGGACCAAGGAGCCCGCAACGCTTAGGGTTTAGGGTGTGGGGTTTAAGGTTTAGGGTTAGGGTTTAGGGCTTAGGGCTTAGGGCTTAGGGCTTAGGGCTTAGGGCTTAGGGCTTAGGGCTTAGGGCTTAGGGCTTAGGGCTTAGGGCTTAGGGTTTAGGGTTTAGGGTTTAGGGTTTAGGGTTTAGGGTTTAGGGTTTAGGGTTTCTTGGGAGGAGCATTTCTCCACCAAGCCCGGACGCAAGGAAGACAAAATCCAAGTAGACGCCGTCGAGACTGTGGTGGCCGACAGCAGCAAGGAGATCGATAAGATAAGCCCTAAACCCTAAACCCTAAACCCTAAACCCTAAACCCTAACCCTAAACCCTAAATCCTAAACCCTAGCAACTTAGTTTAGGTTCCGTGAACAATGCGGGGGCTTCGCGCTTGAGGAGTTTGGGATCCTCAGGGCCTGCAGGGAACAGGGTGTGGGGTCAGAGTTTATAGGGTTTAGAGTTTAGGGTTCAGGGTTTAGAAGTTTAGGGTTTAGGGTTTAGGGTTTAGGGTTTAGGGTTTAGGGTTTAGGGTTTAGGGTTTAGGGTTTAGGGACACAAGGCTCGACAACAACGCAGCAGAGCCTGGACCCCTGACGCTTGCAGGCCTTGGTGGAGAGCGGCGCCGAGGCCAGGGAACACCTGTGCCATCTTCCAAGCTTTCCGGAGTTTAGGGTTTAGGGTTTAGGGTTTAGGGTTTAGGGTTTAGGGTTTAGGGTTTAGGGTTTAGGGTTTAGGGCCGAACTATGGAGTTAAGGGTTTAGGTTCTGGCTAGGGGTGTTTGGGACAACTAGGAAGGCCCCCTCCGGGACCTGACACAGATGCTTACACGGCATCGACTGCAGTGCCAAAAACCTTTCGGGGTTCCTTAGTAAGGTGATAAATTGCGGATTCGGGGTATAGAAGAGGGTTCCAATTTGTGAGATGCCCGAAGGATGGCTTCGAATTTTGTAGTTTTTGGGCTTTGGGTTTGGGCTTCCCCCCTTGCTAAATCCAGACTTGAGCCCCTTGTAGGTCTGATGATGCTAGAACAGGTCGTGGAGTGATATTAAGTATATGATGGGGCCGACCACGCCCTGATGACGGCCAGCGCGGCGGAGGTTCTGACCACATGGCTTGTTGGAGCAGCACGGCCGGTGCGATTGCCTCCAGAGTGGAGGCCCCTGAGCGCGACGGAAGCGAAGGGATTGCAGGAGGGCGGGGGCCTTGATGAAGCGCACCATGCCAGGCTTTCTTACGTTTAGCACGCGCGTTGGGCTTAAAAATGCTGCGCCAGCTCAATGGTACACGGCCGCAACGTATTCAGCACGCCGGCTCCGCGAGTTTGCTCCTGGGAGCCGTGTTGCATGCTCAGGGGGTGGGCATGAGGGGCATCTTTTGCCTTCTCCGCAAAAACAAGTAGGCAATGAGTGACCCTAAAACCCTAAAGCCTAACTCCCGAAAGCCCAACCCCCTGAAGCCCAAAAATCCTAAAGCCCAAGTCCTACACCCCGAATCTCGCGCCACAGGTGCAATGGATCGATGGCTACTGCTGCAACGCCATTCACTACGCCCAGTCGATGAAGAGGCCTCACGAGAAGGTCTTCTCCAACTGCCCGGGTTTCTTCATGCTTTCGGGTTTAGGGTTTAGGGGTTAGTTAGGGTTTAGGGTTTAGGGTTTAGGGGTTAGGGTTTAGGGGTTAGGGTTCAGGGTTCAGGGTTTCGGGTCTAGGATTCTTGCAAGGTCAGACGTGGTGGAGTACTTGAGGAGCGTCCGCGTCGTTACAGAGGTACGGCCGCCGAGGGTATTTGACCCTAAAACCCTAAACCCTAAGCCCTAAACCCTAAACCCTATGCCCCGAAAAAACCTGAACATTTGAAACCAACAAGCTCTGGGACCCTGAACCCTGAAACCGAGACAGCCTACCCTCACTAGCTCCGGTAAAAACCCGAAACCCTCTGAACTTAAAACCCTTAAAACCTTCAAACACCCAAAAACCCTGAACTCTGAAACCTGACTGCCCGAAACACCTCTGTAAGGGCTTCACCGTTTAAATTGTTAACGGAACCTTGAATAAGGCTCTAGGGTTTAGGGTGTAGGGTCTCGGGTTGAGGGTTTAGGAGCTTAAAGAGGAATGTTGAGGAGACAATACAGACTTTGAGCGGCTTACAATTGGTCATTTCCCCATCAAATGAGCATATGCTTTTGGCGAAGATAGGACAGATATAGGTCTTCTCGGCAGATTGTTCAGATTTCTAATGAACGAAGACCCTAAACCCTGAACCCTAAACCCTAAACCCTAAACCCTCAAGATGAGAAAGACAAAGATTTCTTCATCCAACGAGGTCATACAATACATGCGTTCGTGAGAACTAGGATCCCAGGCTTGCCGCGCGGCCCTAAGCCCTAATGTTTAGGGTTTAGGGTTTAGGGTTTAGGGTTTAGGGATTAAGGTTCAGGGTTCAGGGTTCAGGATTCAGGGTTCAGGGTTTAGGGTTTAGGGTTCAGGGTTAGGGCTATGAAATCGAAACTTATTTGTCGTGGCAGTGTCCTAGTTGGATCAAGAACCAGCAGGGGACATTTGCGGGTTTACAAAAATAGGGGACCCCAAAATAGTCCCCCAAATAGGAGGATCCCCTTCATATAAGGATCCCAAAAAGGTACCCCTATTATCGTAAACCCTAAACCCTGAACCCTAAACCCTAAACCCTAATCCCTAAACCCTAAACCCTAAACCCCAAACCCCAAACCCTGAACCCTAAACGCTTATAAACCCTGAACCCTAAACCCTGAACCCTAAACCCTGAACCCTGAACCCTGAACCCTGAACCCTAAACCCTAAACCCTAAACCCTAGACCCTAGACCCTAGACCCTAGACCCTAAACCCTAACCCTTCCTTCTAAACCCTGAACCCTAAACCCTAAACCCTAAACCCTAAACCCTAAACTCTCCTTGCTTCTCTCGGCCCCCTCGTTCAGACGGGCAGTTCAAAGCTTCGGGCTTTGTATGATCTGTGAGCCCTTTTGCGGGTGTAGGGTTTAGGGTTTGGGGTTTAGGGTTTAGGGTTTAGGGTTTAGGGTTTAGGATTTAGGGTTTAGGGTTTAGGGTGTGGAGTTTAGGGTGTTCCATCCACAAGCTTGAAAGGCTTTCTTGAGGGTGTCTTGCGTTTCGCCGGGACGAGCGGGCTTCAAGCATGGCTTCCTGGACAAAGAGTCGCCGAGAGGGACTGTGCATCACTGCTGTCACAGTTGGCAGCTTGCTGGGAATCTGCCTCTGCTTCATCAACGTCACGTATGCCGCGAGCATCCTGGGAGTCTGCGCATATGCAGTCGGCCACGGTTTGTTGCGATACCAGACGTTGCCACTACCTCTCGCACTTCGTGTGGCGGTTGCGGCTTTCCTTTTCCTGTGCACAGCTGTCATCACCACTAGCCCTTGGCTTGTCTTTGGAGGGATGAACGGTTGCAGAGCCTTCGACCCGAGAATGAAGACAGTTTTCGGATACAGCTTCGAGGAGTACTGGAATCTGCTCTGGTTTCGCGCGGGCTGCACCTGGATTGTTACTGCATTCTCAATGTTCTCCGTCTTGGCTGATCACGCGTCGTCCGCGTACATACGTGACTGTATCAGATGCTGCCTGTACCTGGGAAGGACTTCTAGCAGCTTCTAGCAGGACTCGTTAGGTTTCGCCTTGTCTATCCAAACCCCAACCGAAAAATTATGAACTAAACCGTAAACCCTAAACCCTAAACCCCAAAGAGGTACGTATATGCAAGTCTCAGTCTTACGACTGCCGCGGGTGTGCTCCTCGCCTGCCAGGGTGCCGACCGTGACAATGATGGCTTGAGAGACAGCATCTACGATGCCCAGCAGTAGTCTTATTGCCTTTTTGGTGTGTTTAGGTTCCCTTCTTACTAAACCCCTTTACGCAAAAAGGGCACCCTTTTTAATCCTAGGTTACTGGGCAACTTAGGTATCTATGATGCAGCCTTACCAGTCACATCCACGAAGATGGGCCTGGTCGTCGCCGGGAGGATTTCAGGTTTCCTTTCTGGCGTTTGGTGCATTCGCATCGCAGCCAGGAAGGTCAAGGCTTTGGAAGAGGCTTTCGGTGAGCCCTTGCCCTGCAGCAAGACCATCACACGGCTGTCTGCTCTCCCGATTTTCTTCGCTCTCGGGGGGAGCGCTCTTTTTCGAGTTTCCCGGGTGGGCTTCCTTCTGACGAACACGGGCTCCACTCTTAGCCTGGTTTTGCTGACAGGGTTGCTGCTGCGGGCTATTTCTGTTCCTTTGCGGGCGCTCCAGACAGCCCGGAGGATGAATGTCGACAGCGACGGGGAGTGGGAGCAGAAGATGGCTTCCGCGATCAACGCACTTCGGCGATTTCAGTTTGCAGTCCTGTTAGCCAACTCCTCAATGGTCTTCAATGTGGTTGGCATGGCGGCCATCCAGTTCGTGTTCCACCCAATAGTCGTTTCGGTCAACGACTACTTGTTTGTGCTGGACGTGGTATCCAACGGCAGTGCGGTTACTTGGGGACCAAATGAACCCAAAAATTCGGGTCACATACCCTATAGTCCTGTATAATTCCTATGAAGGTGTCTGAACCAAGAAAGCCCTTTTAGGGTTCATTTCGTCCCCAAGGTCACCCTCCTGTCCATTGGCTCACTGCGCTGTCCGAGGCGGCGTCCGGCCTCTTCGTCAACGTCCCCCCAAGCTCCTGGCAGATGATTTAAGACTTCGGGAAACTGCAAGTGAAGAAAAGACAGCCTTGCAACAGCGAAGACCCCTAAACCCTAAACCCTAAACCCTAAACCCTAAACTTGGCCCTAAACCCTCAACCCTCAGCCCTAAGCCCTAAACCCTAAGCCCTAAGCCCTAAACCCTAAACCCTAACCTTTGAATCGTCTGACTATCCCAGGCGCAGTCCAGCCGAAACTCCTATCGCGAGTTGCTGGAGTGCACTTGTGGCTCGAAGAGGGCAGCGACCATGGCAGGACAGGTGGTGAACCTCGGACCCTCTTTACCTACAGTTTTGTGGGTTATACCGTGGATACCTACTAATTAAGGGTAGTAGTTAAGGGTAGTTACTACTCAACTGTAGGTATATAGAGTACCCTAAACCCTTGTGGGTTTTACCTACTAATTGATTACTTAAGGGCAGTAATGAAGGGTAGCTACTACTGAAGAGTAGGGCAGTAGTTAAGGGTAGTTACTCCTAAGCTGTAGGTAAATTAAAGTCCCAGGAAGACCCTGTCAGAGCAAGTGGCCCAGACCATGTCCCAGACCTCCATGTCCCGCAGCGTGAAGATACGTGAGCAAGCGGCATTCTGCGACCGGTGCGCCTGGGACGACAAAGTCCGCGAACCTTGGGCCCGTTTGTCGTCCGTGTGCCCTTTTTGGGGGTTTAGGGTTTAGGGTTTAGGTTTTAGGATTTAGGGTTTAGGGTTTAGGGTTTTTCAGGAGTGTAGGAACATGAACCACAAATTTTGGCGCGCCACTGGGTTTTCAAGGAAATAGCAGGCCGCCGCATTTCCGTGAGCCAGCTCTTGGAATTCTACGTCAAGCTCAGCTCGCGCATGTCTCATTTTGATCCGTCCAGGTCCACCACGAATGATCCTTGGTGACTGAATGAACCCTGCTAGGGTCGAAATTTTATTTAGGGTTTGGGGTTTAGGGTTTAGGGTTTAGGGTTTAGGGTCCATGTACTGTATATTCGAGCATGGAGTCGCTTGGGTCAGTGATCCCTAGACCCTACACCCGACTGTGGGTTGATTTGGGTATTTCCCAGAATAGGGTGCCCCGAGTCAACCAAGGGGTCCTCCGGTGCCCCTACACAGATGTTGGGAACTAAGCCCTAAACCCTAAGCCCTAACCTTAAACCCTAAGCCCTAAGCCCTAAACCCTAAACCCCTCTCCTTCCCTTCCCCGGTCTCCAAGGATGTGGTCCGACATGCGATCATTCCGGAGTCGCGTTGCGGCGACATGGGCAGGTCCCGTTTAGGATCTAGGGTTTAGGGTGATAGGGTTATAGGGTTTAGGGTTTAGGATTTAGGGTTTAGGGTTATAGGTTTTCAGGTTTAGGGGTTATAGGTTTCGGGTTTAGGGTTGTAGGGTTTAGGGCTTAGGGTTATAGGTTTAGATTATAGGGTTTAGGGTTATAGGGTTAGAGGATAATAAGGTTCTAGGGTTGGTGGGTTATACGGTTAGAGGGTTAGAGGGCTGGAGGGTTAAAGAGTTGTACGTCATAGGGTTAGCAGGTTTGAGGGTGTAGCGTTATAAGGTTTGACGGTTACCAGGTTATCGGGCTATAGGGTTATAATCATAGGGTTTTAGGGTTTAGGGTTTTCAGGTTTTAGGGTGTTAGGGTTTTGGGAAGCCTGAATATCATCCCCCACTTGCACGGATTGGCACAGCTCGGGCAACGCCGCAGGGTTTAGGGTTTAGGGTTTAATTAGGGTTTAGGGTTTAGGGTTTAGGGTTTAGGGTTTAGGGTTTAGGGTTTAGGGTTTAGGGTTTAGGGTTTAGGGTTTAGGGTTTAGGGTTTAGGGTTTAGGGTTTAGGGTTTAGGGTTTAGGGTAAACGGGAAAACTGCGCAAACCCAAGCGCTGAACAGTAACAGGCCTGACCAAGTGCGGCTGCGAGATAGCAAGAAACAAATGCGTCGGGACGCGCTCATGATTCAGGGTTTAGAGTTTGTTGTTCAGGGTTCAGGGTTCAGGGTTTAGCGCTTAGGGTTGAGGACTGCTCTGGGGTAAACGCGTCCCCTCAGGTCCCTGGCTGAAGTTCTTGGAGCATCGGCAGGAACGTCGCAGTGTTTTCCTCGCCCATCGTCCACGGCACCGCGCATGGTGACCCACCATTGGGGAAACTGCTTTCGGGACCTTGTGGCGGCAATAGTTGCAGATTCTTGGTAGTGCAGTGGTACACATTTGTCCCATTTTTGGTGGGTTCTGGGTTCCCTTACAAAGTAACCCCCAGAAAGGGTACCCTTGTGATGAGATGTTTATTGTGCTACCAAGGATTGCTTGGGCTTGACGTCTTGGGACAGCATTGCCGACCATCTGGGGGCTGGCCGGGAAAAGAGCTTGAGAGAGAGACTCCGCGAGCAGGGCTCGCAGCAGTGGCAGTTCTGGATTTGTGCGTTCTGCATCAATCAGCATACCAGTATCTTGGCACCTGAGCGGTACCCTTTGGCCCTTGCTGGGCTATGGGCTCCCTTGTAAAAGTCACTAACGCCAAGAAGGGCCTTGACCCTAAACCCTAAACCCTAAACCCTAAACCCTAAACCCTAAACCCTAAACCCTAAACCCTAAACCCTAAACCCTAGGAATGAGATGGTTGCTGGGCTGCCAAGGTATTTGTAGCCAAGCCATGGGAGGCCATGACACCGTCACTGGGGAGTCGCTGCCTGTGTGTGACTGCAAGACGCCGAAGCTAGGACCCAGAGTAGGGTTTAGGGTTTAGGGTTTAGGGTTTAGGGTTTAGGGTTTAGGGTTTAGGGTTTAGGGTTTAGGGTTTAGGGTTTAGGGTTTAGGGTTTAGGGTTTAGGGTTTAGGGTTTAGGGTTTAGGGGTTTAGGGTTTAGGGTTTAGGGTTTAGGGTTTAGGGTTTAGGGTTTAGGGTTTAGGGTTTTAGGGAGGACCCCGAGTAGGCCCTTCTTCCTCCCTTTTTTTCGGTGCCGGGGGGGGGGGGGGGGGGGGGGGGGGGGGGGGGGGTCGGGGGGGACGGTTAGGTTCTCTTCTACGCCCCTTCAACCCAAAAAGGGGACCCTTTTATCATTCCTAGGTTGCTCTTGTGTCTAGGAAGTGCCTCAACGACTGTCCGATATCCTGCGAGCTCAATAAGTTCGACAGCATGATGGAGCATCTTTACCTTCGCTTTCGCCAGGGCTTTCTCCAAGTCATTGCCATCGACAAGAATTTTGACATGTTTTCTCGCGCATGGTGCATCGCAGAACTGGCACAGGCCCATGCCACCCGAATGGAGCAACATCTGGTCGTCCACTCTGCCGAGAGTCTCGAAAACCAAAAGCTCCGTCTGAGATCCTTGCGAGTCGAAAACTGCTACGCTTCCAGGCCTGAGGACAAGCAAGAGATCCTGTCAAAGATTGGCTCAGCGTCGGCGATCAGGAAGTTCAACGATGGCTTGCAGAAGCTGCTCCTTGGTAGCCCTTTTTGTGGTTATAAGGTTCCCTTGTAAAGTAACCAACCCGAAAACAGGCCCTAAGACCTAAACCCCAAACCCCAAACCCCAAACCCCAAACCCCAAACCCTAAACCCTAAACCCTAAATCGTACTGCTGGGCTACCCAGGTTCTTAGGCTCCGATGGACTCCTGACAGGATGGAAGGACGGCGAGAAGATTCTCCTGGATGTTGGGGCAGTGGCCGCACGAGCAAGGGCCTATGTCAGAAAGCAGGCCTACGCCAACAGCAAGCAGGCGCCTCTGTGGTGCTTTTACTGTAACTTTTAGTTTAGATCTAAACCCTAAACCCCTAAACCCTAAACCCTAAACCCTAAACCCTAAACCCTAAACCCTAAACCCTAAACCCTAAACCCTAAACCCTAAACCCTAAGTGCAGCCAAGGCTCGCCTGAGGGCCGACGAAGCGGTTTTAGTCGAAGACGACCTCGTTTCAGAGGATCTCGTCGAGATTTGAGCTTGCGTGTATGCAAAGTTGTCTGAACTTTGCTGACCTCTGCTCGGGCAGGGAGATCTGGTGTCTGTAGATTCATATAGGTTTCCCAGCCCCCTTTATGCCACCAGCCCCCCTAGGTTCCCCGCATAATTAAGGCTATTCAAGGATAATTTAGCCGAATTCAGGTTATTTGGGGTAACAGGGAAGGCCATAATAAAGAAGGTTGCGCCACGTTTGCGTGCCGTCGGGTGCCCCCGTGCGCGCCATGTCTCACCACGTGCACGTGAGCAGCATGCCTCGAAACGGCCATGGTGACTGCGAGGGTTCATCTAGCGCATAGGGTAGAGTTTCATAGGTTGGGATGTTCCCCCTGATAGTGACAGTCCGTAATAGGGATTGTAGGACCCCTAATTATTATACTCCTTATGAAGGACTCCGGACTGTTAGTATAAATGGGATCATCCCAGTTTATGGGGTTATAACAGGACTCCTGCATGCGAAACGTGGGTACTGCGAACGCCCCAGTTCACGCCTATGGGTCAGCTAGGTCAAGGTTAGGTGGGGTTTCCCTTGAAAAGCCGATGATCAAGGTACCTCCCCCTGCACGTGTAGAATGGGTGGAAGCATCCCCTGGGTCAGGTTGAAGGTATGGGCCTCTAATCCTGAACCCTAAACCCTAAACCCTAAACCCTAAACCCTAAACCCTAAACCCTAAACCCTAAACCCTAAACCCTAAACCCCCAGTCTTCGCCTTCTGCCAGGTTCCGCTGAAGCATACCAGCGCACAGGACGTGGTGCAGTACCTCTTGAAGGCTGTCCAGGAGACGGTTTAGGGTTTAGGGTTTAGGGTTTAGGTTAGGCTTGAGAGGTTGGACGCTTGTTCCCTTGCTAGCCCAGTGGTAATTACACTTTTCCCTTTTTTGTTTTGGTTCAAGTTTCTCTTTTAGAGTAGCCAACCCCAAAAAAAGGGTGCCCTTATGATAATAAGGTTACTGGGCTACCCAGTTCCCCAAACCCTCAAGCCGCAAACTCCATACCCCATACACTGTCTACACCCTAAACCTTTTGAGCCCTGAGCCTACGGGTTTGCAGGGTTTCTGGAGGTTCTTAGGGTTTGGGCTTTGGGCTTTCGACGCCAAGCGCCCGAAAACCCTATAGATCCTAGACCCGAAACTGCACAAGCTACCAGAACATCGAGGCTCCCCAGAAGGAGTTCCGTTCTGGCAACCATAGCGGGACACTGCATGAGCTTTTCTAGCGCAACCTACACCCTAAACCCTACCTAAACCCTAAACCCTAAATCCTAAACCCTAAACCCTAAACCCTAAATCCTAAACCTAAACCCTAAACCCTAAAACCCTAAACCCTAAACACTCGGAGGATGGATGCTGCGGAGCTGTCCAGCGCGCGAGCACCTGCATTCGCACTATGCAGGCACCAGGGTTCAGGGCTTAGGGTTTAGGGTTTAGGGTTTAAGGTTTAGGGTTTAGCAGGAGCCGGCTATGAAATCTGAAGGGTTTAGGATTTAGGGTTTAGGCCAAGGGTTGAGCAAAAGCACCATCCCAAAACCTCACACTGCATCGCCCAAAGGCCATGGCTCAAGCGGGCGACGATGCGCCGCAGCTTCGAGATGTTCTCAGGCGGAGACAACACACAACTTCCTTGCTGATGTTTATCGACGGATCCCTCACCCTTAAACCCGGAGCTCGAGGGTTTAGGGTTTAGGGTTTAGGGTTTAGGGTTTAGGGCTTACAAGCATGCGTTGGGTTGTGTTGTTTGGCATTGTTCTTGCGGATCCATCACGGCAGCACTCGCCATCGCCTGAGCTGCCATACAACGGGTTTATTCAAGGTCTACGGTGCTTAGGGGTTAGGGGATCTAGGGTTTAGGTTTTGGGGTTCAGGGTTCAGGGTTTAGGGTTTAGGGTTTAGGGTCTACGGTCTATGGTTTGGGGATTTAGGGTTTAGGGTGTAGAGGTCCACTGTGCGCTTCATAGGAGCCGCCAAAGGGACCATAATGCTGTCATCTAGGGCTTCCGGGCTGCGGCGTTCTTAGAGGTATAAACCCTAAACCCTAAACCCTAAACCCTAAACCCTAAACCCTAAACCCTAAACCCCAAACCCGAAACCCGAAACCCGAAACCCTAAACCCTAAACCCTAAACCCTACAGCCTATTCCTAAAGCCTAAAGCCTAAAGCCTAAACCCTAACCCTAAACCCTCAACCTTAAACCCTAAACCCTTAACCCTTAAACCCTAAACCCTAAACCCCTCTCAGCTTTCGCTTGCAGGTCGCGATTTGGCTTCGAACTCTCCCTGCTCCACTTCGCCGTCAAAGTCGTCGCCAATGTCGATCCTGCCGGGCAGGCAGGGACATTTGAGTTTAGGGTTTAGGGTTTAGGGTTGCGGGTTTCGGGTTTGGGGTTTAGGGTTTGGGGTTTAGGGTTTGGGGTTTTGGGTTTTGGGTTTTGGGTTTAGACCTAACTGATTCATTTTCACTGTGGTCGGTAGCGGCGCTGCCCGGCCATGGCATGTTTGATCAGCCACCCTTTTGCTGTAGAGACTGAACCCTAAACCCTAAACCCTAAACCCTAAACCCTAAACCCTAAACCCTCTTGGAATTAACCTGGCTTCCTTCTTTAGAACAGCTTGAACTAGTGTGGTTTCCCCAGTAAGGTAGCTCAACTGGGACCCTGAGTAGGCTCCTAAACCCTAAACCCTAAACCCTAAACCCTAAACCCTAAACCCCAAACCCGAAACCCGCAACCCTAAACCCTAAACCCCTTTTTGTAGGCTTAGGTTTCCTGATAAGCCCCTAGCGTGCTTTCCTTAGTAAGGTGGCGAAGCATGGTTCCTAAGCAACACCAAGCCAGCTTTCGAGTCGCCACACGGCTTGAAGGGTTTAGGGTTTAGGGTTTAGGGTTTAGGGTTTAGGGTTTAGGGTTTAGGGTTTAGGGTTTAGGGTTTAGGGTTTAGGGTTTAGGGTTTAAATGAGCGCTCTTGACGTTGGCTACATGTAACGTTTGGTTTAGGGCTCAAGGGTTTACAGGGTTTTCGGGTTTGGGGGGTCTAGTTGGGGGTTGAGTACTCAGAAGCCTCACTGAGCCCCACTCAACCCCTCCCCCTCCTCCTCAAAAAAACCGCCCACACACACACACCTACCCTAAAGCGTAAAGGTTTAGGGTTTAGGGTTTAGGGTCTAGGGTTTAGGGTTTAGAGTTTAGGGTGCAGGGTTTAGGGTTCAGGCTTTAGGGTTTAGGGTTCAGGGTTTACGGTTTTGGGCCCTAATTCCTGTTACCCCTGTGGAGGTCTGCCGTGCGCTTCTCATGGCCAAGGCTTGGGTTCGTCAGGTTTAGGGTTTAGGGTTTAGGGTTTTGGGTTTTTGGTTTTGGGGTTTAGGGTTCAGGGTGTTTATGGTTTGTCAAGAGTTTAGAGGCTTAGAGCGTCACCGTTGAAGGCTTGCATATCATAAGGCTTCAGGGGGTGCAGTGCGGAATTTTGTTTAGGGTTTAGGGTTTAGGGTTTAGGGTTTAGGGTTTAGGGTTTAGGGTTTAGGGTTTAGGGTTTAGGGTTTAGGGTTTAGGGTTTAGGGTTTAGGGTTTAGGGTGGTGGAGCGGGTTTTCAAGTTTAGTTTCGGGCTTGCCTCAAATTCCCCAGCAGCCCTTCTCCTTGCAGTCTTGGGAGCCTCCAAAACCCTGACACCGCGCCTACCCAAAACCCTAAAACCCTAACACCCTAAAACCCTAACACCCTAAAACCCTAAAACCCTAACACCCTAAAACCCTAAAACCCTAACACCCTAAAACCCTAACACCCTAAAACCCTAAAACCCAAAACCCTGTAAACCCTAAACCATAGCCCTAAACCCTCAGGACGCAGAGACTAGGGTCCTGAGCTGTTCGCAACCTACACCCAGGTCCTGCAGTCAGCTCTCTCAATGATGATTGTTTGTGGGCCGTGCGATACAGCTTATATCGGTACCCAGGGAGGCTTGTAGTTTGGAGAACCCTAAGCCCTAAACCCCCCTGAAAAAACGTAGGCATGCTTTCTGTCCCTAAACCCTGCGCCTTCAATGCCAGGAAGCTGCGACCCGCAAGTTGAAAGAATCCCCAGACATCGAGAGCACCCCGGGAACTTTGGGAGGTATACGCACTTAAGGCACATACAAGCGCAAACCCGAAAACCCTAAAACCCTACACACTAAAGCCCTAAAGCCCTAAAGCCCTAAAGCCCTAAAGCCCTAAAGCCCTAAAGCCCTAAAGCCCTAAAGCCCTAAACCCTCAACCTTAAACCCTGAAACCCTAACCCCTAAACCCTAAACCTCAAACCCTCGACAAGACCTGAAGCTTCAACAAGGCCTTGCTCAACTCGTAGATCCTTAGCCTTTTTGGGTTTCTTGGGTTTCTTAGTAAGGCAGCTAAGAATTAGATTTATAGCTACCCTGCTGAGTGCAGCCAAGTCCTCCTTCAACCTCATAAGCCCGTAGTAAGCATCCAACCTGCACAGCCTGTATTAAGCCTCAAAACCCACAACGTCTTTACCAAACTACACTCTATAAACCCTAAACCCTAAATCCCACCTGTCAGGCTGATCCGCGCCTGGCCTCAGCCGTGGGAGATACGCCGCTGCACTTTGCCGCCTCCGATGGCTGCAGCGAGGCTGCCGGGGCGCCATTTTAAGAGGTTTTTGCTAGGGTATTTTAGTGTTTTTGTTCGGGTATTTTAGGGTTTTTGTTAGGGTATTTTAGGGTTTTTGTTGGGGTTTCTTAGGGTTTTTGTTAGGGTTTTTGTTGGGTGTTTTAGGGGTTTTAGGTTTTAGGGTTTTAGTTAGGGTTTCTTTGGGGTCTTAGGGGTTTTGTTAGGGTTTCTTTGGGTTTGCAGGTTTTAGGGTTTTAGTTAGGGTTTCTTTGGGTTTGCAGGTTTTAGGGTTTTAGTCAGGGTTTTTTTGGTGTTGTAGGGTTTCTAGGGCGTAGGTTTCTAGTTAGGGATTTAGGGTTTCTAGGGTTTTTAGGCTTTTAGGGTTTTAGTTAGGGCTTTTTTGGTTTAGAGTTTTAGTTAGTGTTTTTTGGGGTTTTAGGGTTTTAGGGTTTTAGTTAGGGTTTTAGGGGTTTAGGATTTTGGGGTTTTAGGGGATTCATGGGGTGGTTCCCTGGGTACCAAGGCAAGCCTTAAGTTGAGGGTCATATAGGCACGTTCCCCCCTCTTCTAACAGTCCTTAATAAGATTTTTTCGTACCCCCCCCCATTAGAATCCCTATTAAGGACTGTTAGTATAAGGGCATATATCCCTTGCGCATCGATTTAACATACCCTACCTGGGATTCCCTCAAAACCGAGTCTCAGTGTTTGGGCTTTGCGGTTGAGGCGTCTAGGTTGACGCATGTAAGGCTCGTTTCGGGATTTAGGGTTTTTAGAGGTTTTGGGTTCAGAGGTTTGAGGCTTCTCACTCCACCAAGGCCCCCAGCAACTGTCCCGCAGGGTTTAGGGTTTAGGGTTTAGGGTTTAGGGTTTAGGGTTAGGGTTTAGGGTTTAGGGTTTAGGGTTTAGGGTTTAGGGTTTAGGGTTTAGGGTTTAGGGTTTAGGGTTTAGGGTTTAGGGTTTAGGGTTTAGGGTTTAGGGTTTAGGGTTTAGGGTTTAAAACCCTCTGTAAACCTAACCCTGACTGCTCAGATCTACGATGAGCTTGCCCGCGCGACCCTGAAGTTGGAGGTGGAGGGTTAAGGGGTCTAGGGGTATCCTGGCCTTGAGGGTTTAGGATTTAGGGTTTAGGGTTTAGGGTTTAGGGTTTAGGGTTGAGAGTCTTAAGGGGTAGAAGGAGGGCCCCCCTATAGTCCCTATATCCATAAGCACCCCCTGAAGAAGCCCTAAGCTCCATTAAAAAAGTCCCTCCTCTAGTCCCTTGAGGGTTTAGACTTTACGGGGTTCAGGGAGTGTAGGGTCTGGCTGTTAGGGCCGTTAGGGGTTGGTTGAGGTTCGACTTGCACCCCAAGTTCCCATTTCGGAAGGGCCTACATGCACATTCTTATTTGGGGGAATTGAGTGTGTCTTAAGGCCACTTAGGGGTTACATGAGCCCCTAGAAGGCTTCCCCTAGGAAACTACTATGTTACTATATATACCTCATCCCTATATACCAAAGTAGCCCTTACATTCCCTCAGGTCCCTTATAAGGGTGTCGTATTTCGTCCCTTGAAGCGGTGCGTTCAAAGGAAGCTTCATCTCGAACGTGTGTGACCGGGCATGGGGGTTTGCAGATCTCTCCGACCCTAAACCCTAAACCCTGAACCCTGAACCCTGAACCCTGAAACCTAAACCCTGAACCCTGAACCCTAAACCCTAAACCCTAAACCCTAAACCCTAAACTAAACCCCAACAAATTCCCAGACCGGCAATGGCACCCACCAAAAGCACTAGAAGGGTTCAACGCGCGTAAGTCGAGGATTCTCGGAGAAGAGCTGGAAAAGCCCATGTTGCGGGCCTCAAAGAGGGTTCAGGGTTTAGGGTTTAGGGTTTAGGGTTTAGGGTTTAGGGTTTAGGGTTTAGGGTTTAGCGGTTTAGGGCTTGCAGGGGCCCTAAACTTCCCCCCCAAGCCCTAAACCTAAACCCTGAACCCTTTATAGGGCCCGCCCTAAAGTTCCCCCCCCCCCTCCCCCGAATAAGTCTCCTGCACTCTGCGCCCTCCACACTTGCATCCTCAAGTCCCGAACGAATCTCCCCAGGCCCAAGAGCCCCCCAGGAAGCAAAAAAAACAACCCACCACCAAAAACCCATCTCCTTAAACCCGAAGCCCGAAGGGCCCGAAACCCTAAGCCCTGCTAGGCAGAAGATGCGGTTCGGGGTCGGCTGGTGGGAGGCGCCTGGGAGGTCTTTTTTTTTTGTTTTTCTCTCAGGCTTTGGGGGAAGCTTAAGATTGTGGTCCCCTCATGGGGGCTAAGTTGGAGAAAGATGATACAATCAAAGCCGCATCTATAGACAGCAAAGGAAGGCCGTTCGTCCATTCCTGGAGAGAACCTGGGCATGCCAACGTGAGGGCAACGGGACACATAGAAGATATGGGGGTTCCCGATTTTTTTGGGGGTACCTTACTGGTTTCCTTGTTATAAGGGAATCCTACTCTTTGGGGACTATATTAGGGGTCCCCTTAATTTCGTAAATCCTCATATGGGCATTTCCCAAAACAGGGGTACCCCTTTTAGACCCCAAATCGAGTCAAGTTTCCTCAAAGAGACCCCCCCCCCCCCCCCCCCCCGCCCCCGCAAAAAAAGTGGACCCCTCTTTTCGGAAACCCCCATATAAGGAAAGCACAAAGAGGATACACCTCTAGTTCGCATAAAAAGCATGAGTTGCACCCGAAGGCCCTAAATCCTTAGTTCTTAAGAACCAGAAGGCTTGTTTTGCGGGTTTTAGAGGTTTAGGGGTTCAGGGGTTTAGGGTTAGTTTAGGGCTTTGGGGGTTTTAGGGGTTTAGGGTAGTTTAGGGTCTGTAGGGTTTAGGGTTTCGGGTTTACGAAATTATGAGGTCCCTTGATGGTCCCTTTTGAATGCGGATTCCGAAATCTAGGATCTCGCCAGAAGGCACGTGCCCGCATGAGGTGCTTAGTGTCTGCCGGCAGTACTCCTGTCTTCGTGTCGCTCCGGGCTGTGGCCGCACAGCTTCGTGCATGTTGCGCATGGGTTTAGGGTGTAGGGTTTAGGGTTTAGGGTTTAGGGTTTAAAGGTTGTTTGTGTCTCAAGTCGTTGCGCCGGCCTCAGACGTGTTAAGTCGTTGATTCACTTCCGGTCTCCCTTGTGTGCCGGAAGTGTTCTTTTGGTTCCCCTAAACCCTAAACCCTAAACCCTAAACCCTAAACCCTAAACCCTAAACCCCATGTTAATGCAGCACGTTAGCTCTCACATTCTTTCCCTTCTCAGCTCAACTTAACATGAGGCCACAGTCTCGTGAGGGATCACGATCTTCATGAACATGGAATTTTAAAGCGCAGGTGCAGCTACCCTTTGGGGTTTAGGGTTTAGGGTTTAGGGAGCCTTTGGGGTATACATCGTCGTGTCGGGAGACCCTAGTGCCGGTGAACCAGTGTTTCTCGAGTTTGCCATGGCCAAGGAGCTGGAGGTGTGCATTGGCGCATCTCTTGATTCTGATGCCTCGCGTTCCGAAGGCTCTGAGCGCTCGGCTGTAGCTCGGGGCGCGAATGCTGCCGATGGGTTCGAGGTTGCCATTGCAGCTGCTGATGTGGTGTCTTTCAGCGGCTCCGACCACTCGGCGGGCCAAGACTTAGATGAGTTCAGATCTGTAGCTGACGTCTATTTCGAGTATGTCTCTTCCATGACGGCCACACGCCCAGGAGTGGTCCGAGGAATACGTGTGTTCCGCTTTCTGCAATACGCGCCGCTGTACTGGATGCGCGGTAGGCTCGACTTGCTACACCGCTTCAGTGAAGAGGTGACCCAGCTCGACGAGTTTTGGTCGCACAGCTGGCGCGACGCGGCATGGACGAAGTATGTCAACATACTCTACCTCAGCAGTGGTGCAAGCGCGTTTGTGGTCGGCACTCTCGGTGCCGCCTTGGCCTGCACCCTATTCATGCTGGGTGCTCTACCAGAGTGGCATGGAAATTACTGGAGGTGCCAGTGGTGTACGCTGTTCGGGATCGTCTCACACTACTCAACCATGTTGCTGTGCCTTCGGCAGAAGCGTGTTTTCTTGGACATTGCGTGCATAGATCAGCGGAATCAGGAAGCGAAAGGCGAGGGCCTTGCCAGCATGGGGGCCATCCTGAAGCGCTCCCGGAGCATGCTGGTACTGTGGTGTCCGAGTTATGTGACTTGGTAGCCTGGTGGTGCCCTTTTGCCTTCCTTTTTAGGTTGCTGTTTCTTTTATTCAATGGCAACCTCCTTGTGATTGCAGTGTTGCTGGGCTACAAAGGTGACAAGATTATGGTGCATCTTCGAGCTCAGCGCATTTCTGCAAAGCCAGCGCGCGGCCGACACGAAAGCCAGCTTCACTGTTTGCCCGCCGATGCTTGGACCCGCGCTGATGGTGATTCACGCAGGCTTCAGTGTGCTTGCCACCATGTTCCTTGCCTTGCAAGGTTCCGAATTAGGAAATTTTGCCGTTTTTGCCGGCGCATCTTTCGCCATACCTTTCTTCGGCCTGACGGCATACTCGGCTAGGGCGTACTTCCGTAGCATCGACGTCTTGGAGGCCCAAATTCGTCACTTGTCCGTGGAGAACTGCACAAGTGCTTGCTGTAAACAAGGGCACCCCCACGGAGGGATCTGTGACCGCGATATCATTCTTCGGTGCATTGTTGCTTGGTTTGGGTCGATCGAGAACTTCGACCTCCAAGCGCAGTTGCAGTTGCAGACGGCCTTGGTGGGCCAACTTGCAGATGCAGCCTTCTCATATCAGCGCCTGGTCATGGCAACCGCACCTGTGCTGTGGATTGCACTCGACCGAACTGCAGTCGATGTTCAACGGTCCTGGCAGCTGGCCGCGGCTTCGCTGGCCCGCTTTCTTGCCTGGTGGCTGGCAGTTCTTCCCGGCGCCGCCAATCTTGTGCTGCGCCTGAGCTACCGCTGGCGCGCGCGGTGTTGCAGCTCTCTTCTTGAGGCCCTGTTTTCCCTGGGATTTGTGACTAAGACACACAAGGGTACCATTTTTCTTCTTCTTGCGGGTTAGGGGCCGCCCGTTAATTTGAGCAAGAGGGAGCTATATATGCATTTGTTCCTACGTTGCTTGGAAGCCTAGGCGCTTCTAGCCTTCTTCCTGTGCAGTGCCGTGTTGGTATTTGAGGAGTATGCACTGTGGACCTTTCTGCCTGATCGGTTGCTTGCCGGCTTGAGCTTCCTTGGCTTGACGCTGGCCGCGAACCTCTGCTTGTGGCGCTGCGCACCCTCCATCCGAAGAGTGAAGACTTAGGGTGGAGTTCCATGCAGTCATCTATCCACCTTGCAAATTCGCAAAAGTCTCCGAGTACGGCGCAGCTATAGCATCAGCCACTCTCGCCCATCGAACATCACATCCTGCAAAGAGCCTGCGAAATGCCCAAAGGCCTGCACACTTTGTGCCCTTTGACTGCGTCACCTGCTTCTTGGGATGTCTTTTAGCTGACAGGGTGCAGGAGGTAAGGTTTTCCTTTGACACCGAGTTCCCTACACTTCGAAGCGCGGGAAACTTCCTCCACTTCGGAATTGGGGCTAGCGGTTGAGAAGCCTTGCAGCCGCCAACACTCAAGTACAGGAGCCGGCCATAGCTAACAATCAATCATGCCTTTATTATAATGGCCGACCAGAACCTGAATCCCACTGTAGACATGCCGGGCCTCGCCAAAGGGGCTAGGCCTCTGGGACATTTTGCAATTGCCCTTATTGGGTTTAAGAGGATCATACTCAGGAAGATTTTGAAAGAGGGCTTTTCAAGGGCCATCCTAGCCCTAAACCCTAAACCCTAAACCCTAAACCCTAAACCCTAAACCCTAAACCCTAAACCCTAAGCCCTACATTCTGGTTCATCTGTGTTTCTTTCGCTCGGGGCTCAGCGGCTCTCCAGGCGCCGGGGCCGCAGAGGAGGCTGGGAGTGCGGAGCTGCTGGCAGAGACGCAGAAGGCTCTGGGAACAAGCCCGGGTTTAGGGTTAGGGTTTAGGGTTTAGGGGTTAGGGTTTAGGGCTAGGGTTTAAGCCCGAAACCCCAAACCACTACGCCCCTAAGTCCTGAGTCCTAAACCCTAAATAGGCCCTATCAACCCTAAACCCGAACTCCTAAACCCTATATCCTAAACCCCAAACCCTAAAGCTGAACCCTGATGAAACCCGATATAGCTTGAGTCCAAGAAGCTTCCAAACCATCCCAAGACCTTCGTAGAGAAGCCCGGAATTTCCAAAACCACTGACAAAAACGCCCTATAAGCCCTAAATCAGCCTAAAAACAGCGGTAGAATCCTAAGCTTTCATCTCCAAAAGGACTTAGGTGGGCGAGATGCTTCCGGCGGATATTCTACGTGGCTTGTTCACTGCATGCCCAACAGGTGGGTTTACGGCTCTAGGATGTTCGGGTTGAGCAGGCGAAGTATCCAGCTCATTGCCCCATGACACAGGTCCCAAGCCCACACCTCTACACCAACAAGCAGTGATACCCCTCCCTAAGCCCTAAACTACTAAACCCTAAACCCTAAACCCTAAACACTAAACCCTAAACCCTAAACCCTAAACCTTAAACCTTAAACCTGAAAGTCCAAGATATCAGACTATGGAGTGGTAAATGGGGGTTTGAGGGTTTGGGGCACGAGGTGCTCTTGGAACCCAGCCAGCTTTTTTTTGAGTTCTTTCTAGGCGGGTCCATGGAGAAAAGTTGTGACATGAAGATTTTTGGATAGTTACCCTAAACCCGAAACCCGAAACCCGAAAAGCCGCAATGGCATCCCTAAGCTCGAGGGTCTAAAGGGACAACCGAGCTGGACAACCGAGCTCCCTCTGCTCAGAGAGCTGGAGAGATCCTTTCTGCCCAGATTCTGCGTCGCCGGCTGGTCCGCCAGGAGGCGTGCTCTGTTGCATCTGGCAGTGAGCATGTTCAAAGATAGAGAAATAGATCACGCGTAATGTAACGACATGTCATGTCATGCAGCAGTTTAAGCATGTATATATATATATATATGCTATGTACAGATACATATGTAAAGCATGTGCATATTCAAAAACCATATGTTTCAACATGTTTTGTAATGATATTCTTGTTTTTATATTTGTACAACATGCACTACAATAACTGCTTAGCTCGACCAGGGGCCTAAACCCAAAGCCGTCAGTAAGCCCTGCAACCCCCTAAACCCTAAACCCTAAATCCTAAAACCCAGGAAAACTTTGAAGACAGTTGCAAGCACCGCCACAACCCATCGCCTGGTTTCTAGGGTTCAGGGTTTAGGCCCTCAGTCCAGTGGCAAAAAAGGGGTCTAGGGTTTAGGGCTTAGGGCTACTTTACCTCGGAGGTTGAGAGTGAAGACTGGCGGCGCAGCGCAGACGAGGACGTCCCCCGTCCGAGGGATACACGCCTTGCGGAGCCCAAGGGTTTAGGGTTTAGGGTTTAGGGTTTAGGGTTTGGGGTTTAGGGATTTGGGATTTTCGGGTTAAGGGTTCAGGGATTTGGGTTGTCTCGGCTGCTAGGAGTTCAGGCTCAGAGGGCTTAGGGATTCCGATTCGGGACCTTCGTGGGTGTTGTTGCAACTTTGGTTTTGCCCTAGACCCTGAACCTCTGCTTCACATGTCTGTATATATGTATATCTGTACATATGTATATATATATATGTATATATGTATATATGTATATATGTATATATGTATATATGTATATATGTATATATGTATATATGTATATATGTATATATGTATATATGTCTCTGTTAATTAACCCTTTACCCTTCAAGCGGCCTAGTTTCCCAGCGTTGTGGGCCAAACTGGGCGGGCGGGTATGACTCCGTCGCTTAAACCCAAAACCCAAAACCCAAAATTTAAAACCCTAAGCCCTAAACCCCAAACCCTAAACCCTGCCTCTCCAAAAGCCAAAGAAGCCCTGAGAAAGTTCAATTTCCACCTCAGCAGCAGGACACCAGCAAGTGGCTGCAGGCCGGGCGCTCTGGGGTTTAGGGAGGGTTTAGGGGTTTAGGGGTTTAGGGATTTAGGGGTTTAGGGGTTTAGTGGTTTAGGGGTTTAGGGGTTTAGGGGTTTAGGGGTTTAAGGGGTTTAAGGGGTTTAGGGGTTTAGGGGTTAAGGGGTTTAAGGGGTTTAAGGGGTTTAAGGGGTTTAGAGTTTAGGGTTTAGGGTTCATGGTTTAGGGTTAGGGTTGAGGGTTTAGGGTTTAGGGTGTAGGGTTTCGGAGCTCCAGGGCTCTTGGGATTCTGGGGCTCTTTCTGGGATGTTGGGATTGTTTGGTGCTTCTTGGTGGGCTTTTCTTTGGGGATCTGCCCTCTAAACCCTCCATGGTTGTTGTCCAGGTCCATATTCAAAGGGTTTCGGGATAAGGGTGCAGAGCTCCAAACCCTTAACCCCTAGAACCCGAACCCTAAGGCCTGAACAAACCCTAAACCCTAAACCCAAAACCCTAAACCCTAAACCCTAAACCCTAAACCCTAGGGTTTAGGGCTTTGGGTGGCAAGTTGCGGATCCAAGTCTGATTGCATCCCCCCAGTGCCCACGCAGTAGCGCTGCTTTGGCGAGTCTGCACTTAGACGAACGAAAGTTTGCCGTGAGTCCTTCTTTGCTGAGTAGGTAGCCTTTAACCTTCTGGGGTTTATATAAACCTACCATAACTCAAAAGGTTAACCTTTTTTGGGCTAGGGTACTCAGCCCCTAAGTGTCTTCTTGTCAGTTTTGAAGAGAGAGGTGCAGGGTTGGAGGGTCAGGGCTTGAGGGTTCTGGGTCCTATATGCTAAACCCTAAACCCTAAACCCTAAACCCTAAACCCTAAACCCTAAACCCTAAACCCTAAACCCTAAACCCTAAACCCTAAACCCTAAACCCTAAACCCTAAACCCTAAACCCTAAACCTCAGCTCCTCAGGCTGGCCTGCTGGCCTTCAAGCACGCGGTGCTCCAGCAGAAGCTGCGGCGGGAGCGGGATGACTCGTGGCAGCAGATGGGGGCGCGCGCTTGGAGGGTTGAGTGGGGTTTTGGGCGTCCTCTCTCTTGGGGGTTCCTGGCACCCTAAACCCTAAACCCTAAACCCTAAATCCTAAACCCTAATCCCTAAACCCCAAACCCTAAACCCTAACCCTAAACCCTAAACCCTAAACCCTAAACCCTAAACCGCTTGTAGGGGTGTTTAGGGCTCCAGGGTCTCCAGGCGTTTTCTAGTTCGGCGCTTGCAGGGTGTGGGACTTAGGGTTTGTTTAGGGTTTAGGGTTTGGGGTTTAAGGTTTCGGAATGACCTAGGGTAGGCGCTGATGGCTGATTGCCTTTGTCTTAGGGTAAATGTTCCCTTACGGGCCCCGAAAAGCAAGAACGGCGCCCTTTTCATTTCTCGGTTACTCTTGGGTTTTGGCTAGGGAGTATGGGAGTTTCGGGTTTATAGGGCTAAGGGTTTAGGATTTCGGGTTTATGGGGTTTAGGGTTTGGATATGGAGTTTTCCGGGGTTTCCGGGTTTTGCGGTTTACGTAGGCTTAAAGGTTTCAGGGTGTAGAACAGCCCAGGCTACTGCCTGGCCGCTGTAAGTACCTATCATCCGGACGAGCACAGCTGCTACATGAGCCAAAGCAAATTCTAATAGCATGCCCCGGTGCCATGTAATGCTGTATATATACTACTCAAAGTTCTCATTCCATTAGAGGTTCCCTCCGATCACGTATAACTGTGCACCCCTCTACTGCTAAAGCTACACCCAAATGATGTACCTGAACCCTGAAACCCCAAACCCCAAACTCCCCAACCCAATGCCGAAGCAGCTCTACAAGGAGGGCCGCCCTCCCTCGCCGAAGAAGAGCCTCCTGGCTAGATGTGGATCCATCGAATTTATGATTGGCCGCTTTTTCTGAATGCTTTGAGCTCGGGCTTCTAGGGCTCAATGCTTTAGCTGAGGCTTATCGGGGCCCAATGTGTCCACTCGGTTTCTGGGCCTGAGGGCACCATGTCCTTCGGGGTTTTCGGGGTTTTGGTCGCTTCAAATTTGCGAGGTTGTAGGTTCGTGCGAAACCGCGCAAAGCCTCACGATGAATGTTCCTCCAAGGCCTTCTGCAAGAAGTCTTACGGCTCTAAACCCTAAACCCTAAGCCCGTCAACCCCTTAACCCCTTAATCCCTCAACCCCTTCACCCCTTCACCCCTAAACCCCTGAAACCCTCAGCCTCCATGACCGGTTCGAGCCGCGGCAGGGCGCGCACAGGGTGGAGACCAGTCAGTTGCATCTAAGGTGCCAAGCGGCGCACCTCGGCTCCAGGCGCTTATGATGCGAAGCTACAGGGGTAGAGGAGATACCCGCTAAGATATCTGCCAAGTTTCTAGAGTGCTTCTTAGCAGAGGAGGCCCCCTAAAAGGGTACAAAAAATAGGGGGGCGTTTTCACATGTGAAGCCAGTAGTGAAGCCTCCTTTGGTGCTTGAAAAACCAGGCTCCCGAACAATCCACGTATCTTGGCTCTTTTCGTTGGGCTTATTAGGGTTTAGGGTTTAGGGTTTAGGGTGGGGCTTGAAGATCCTTAATACCCTTCTACGACTCTACTACTTCCTTAAGAAGCCCCCCCCCCAAAAAAAAAAAAGAGACTCTTCCTTATAAGGTTAATATAGGGGTTTCTATTTTTTGGGGGGGGTCTTAAGCAAATAGTAGCCTTCAGGTTTTTGTTCTTGGGGGGGGGGGGTTCTTAAGCAAATAGTAGCCTTCAGGGTTTCGTTGCAGGTAACAGTCGCCGAGCATCCGTTGCTGGACCGGTAGCCGGCCAAATCTCACAAGGTGGCGGGCTTGGGGTTTAGGGTTTAGGGTTTAGGGCTTAGGGCTTAGGGCTTAGGGCTTAGGGTTTAGGGTTTAGGCTTTAGGGTTTAGGGTTTAGGGCTTAGATGGATTCAGGATTGTGAGACAGGCTTTGCACGGTGGTTGAAAGCCAGTGCTCTTGCGTTTGGATTGACAGGCAGAGCGCTCGGGTTGCTCATGAGGCATTAGAGAAAGCTCCACTATGTGTTACAAGGTTGTTTATGGAAGACCCGAGGGTTTTGGCGATTTGCACATGTAAGGCTGTAGAACTTGAGGCTCTGGGCTTAAGCTCCAGATTTTCAGGCAAGCTCCCTTGGTTGGTGAGATGCAGGGTTCAGGATTTGGGGTCAAGAGCCCTAAGCCCTCAGCCCTTGCACCTCCAATCGGGGTTCAGTCACTCTCCCACAGCTCGCTGTCCCAAAAGCCCTTGCTTTCCTGCTCGAGATGCGTACTTGTCAAGTTGGGCGTCTGCTTTCTAGAGCTTCTCACAGGGGGGGGGGGGGGGGAGTCCTTCTAGAACCCACGCCCCTCACACCCCCACACCCCGCCGCGAAAGACAAATTAAACGTAAAGCCCTAAACCCCCTGAAACCTAAACCCTGAACCCTAAACCCTAAACCCCAAACCCCAAACCCTAAACTCCCTAAACCCTAAACCCTAAAACAACCTAAAACCCCAAACCCCAAACCCTAAACCCTAAACCCTGCCACAGAGACCCGATACCCTGCAGCTGAAGTTTTCAGGTGCCGGCGGGAGGCGGACCTCGGGCGCGGGGCTTCCGAGGCCCTCCTCCGGTGAGGGGAGACGAGCCTTGGACAGAATAGGGTTTAGGGTTTAGGGTTTGGGGTTTCGGGTTTCGGGTTTCGGGTTTAGGGTTCAGGGTAAAGGGGAAAGGGTTTGGGTGTAAGGGCTGGGGTTGATGGAGCATTTGTAGGGTTTGTAGGGTTAGGGTTTGTAGGGTTTGCAGGGTTTGTTGGGGTTGTTAGGGGTTGTCGGATTGTGGGGTTGTAGGGTTGGAAGTTGGAGGTTTGTAATGCTTGAAGTTTGGGGTTTGGAAACTGAAGTTCAGGGCTTAGAGCTGTTCGGGGTTTGGTTGTGTTGAGTGGTTTGAGTCTGGAGACATCGGTTTGGTGGGGTTAGGATAAATAGGGGGCTTTGGGGCATTTCGGGGCCAAAGCCTTACTGCTTGCCAGCCGAGAATCCGCCCGCCTCCCTTCTGGTGCATAGGGTTACGTATGCCACAAGCCTTAAACCCTAAACCCCAAATCCTAAACCCCAAACCCCAAACCCCCCTAAACCCCAAACCCTAAACCCAAACCCCCCTATACCCCAAACCCTCAACCCCAAACCCTAAACTCCCTAAGCCCTAAACCCCAAACCCTGAACCCTAAACCCCAAACCCCAAACTCTAAACCCGAAACCCTAAACCCCAAACCCTAAACCCCAAACCCTAAACCCCAAACCCTAAAACCCTACACCCTAAACCCTCAACCGCTTGAAAGGAGGCCACTCACCAAGTCGGCGGCGGTCCTCTGTGATGTCGCCTCCCGCGCCTGCCTCTCCAGCAGGTGGGGATCAGGGCTCAGGGTTTTTAAGCTTTGGGGTTCAGGGTTTGGGGTTTAGGGTTTAGGGTTTAGGGTCTCAGGGTTTAGGGTTTACAGGGTTACAAGGTTTAGGGTTTAGGTTGTAGGATGCTTGGCTATTTCTTTCAACCCCGCGAAGGGAATTGTGGGTGTCTTTTGGTTGTCGAGCGTGGCCTCAGGGTTCCAGTGGCTTCATTCAGGGTTCAGGGTGTTCGGGCTAGACAACCCTAAACCCTAAACCCTAAACCCTAAACCCTAAACCCTGAACCCTGAACCCTAAACCCTGAACCCTGAACCCTGAACCCTGAACCCTAAACCCTAAACCCTAAACCCTGAACCCTAAACCCTAAACCCTAAACCCTAAACTTAAGCCCTCAACAACTCACTGAGTGCTGACACGCGTGCTGATGATTGCTGCGGCCACTCCCGCGGTCGATCTATCCTTCGGCAGCTAGAGAGCTAGCGACCTGCCTCACTACTTATTACCCTAACCCCTACACCCCAAACCAAAATTAAGGTTTAAGGTTTAGGGTTTAGGGTTAGGGTTTTAAGGTTTAGGGTTTCTGGTTTCGGGTTTCGGGTTTCCTTAACAGCAACCCATCTCTGCGCATTTCTCGGGGTGCCAGCGGAGGCAGCGCCAAGGACTCCCCACGCACGCTGCAGCGCATGCGGCGGATGAGCCTGGGTTAGGGGTTAGGGTTTAGGGTGTAGTGACTAGTGAATAGGGTAGGGTTTAGGGGATGGGTTCAGGGTTTAGGGTTTAGGGATTAGGGATTAGGGATTAGGGATTGGGGTTTAGGCTCGCGGCCCTGACAGAGTCAGGGAAAGGGGTGGTCTCAAGCCACGATGCAGCCTCGAAGGGCGTCTTAGTGTATGTATGGTCAATTCCCCCAGGCCTAAACCCTCAACCCTATTCCCTAAACCTAAACCCTAAACTCTAAGCCCTAAACCCTAACCCAAAACCCTAAACCCTAAGCTCTGTAGTCTGGGGCCCCCAGAGCCTAAACCGCAGGATCTTGGTTTTCAAGCGCGGGCAGCGAATGCCAGATGAAGTCTCATTTGGCTGCCTTCTACTTGGAGGTTCATGGTACTTATTAAGCAATCGCAACTGTACTTATAACCCACGTATAAGCCCCTTAAGTGCCCCAATGTGGCTATAAGTACCATGAACCTCTTTCTGAGGCACGGCCACAGTCCTCGCCCCTGAACCCCGAGATTCCTAAACCCTAAACCTGAATCCCGAAACCCTAAGCCCTGAACCCTAACAAACCCCAACCCCAAAACGACCCTAAGCCATGAGTGGCAATCTTCAGAGGCTTCAGGGCCCGGTTCAGGGCTTAGGAGGTTTTGGATTGTGAGTTTGGCGTTTAGGGCTTAGAGGATTAAGGGTCTTGAGTTTAAAGGGCGGGTTTAGAGAGTTTAGAAAATTAGACGACGAGGCTTAGCGTCCAGGGGGTTGGGTTGGAGTGTTTTAGGGTGCATTGGCGTGCTCGGGGTTGCTTCAGAGGGTCTACTACGGGAGGGCTTAGGTTGTTGAATGTTTTTTGCGGGTGTCAAGTTTTTGGGGCAGGGCAACCGACAATTGAAGTCGGACGAGCATGATCCGAGTAGCCTGTTCTGCATAAGCCTTAAAGAAGGGAAGTCTACCCAGCAATTCTGGACATTTTCCACTTCTGAGAGTACATATGGAGAGGTTTAGGGTTCCTGTGCGGGCTTCGGGCTCCTGATCCCTTCAGTGCCGTTTTGGGCTTGTTGCCGGAGTCAACAAGTACGCTTCCTCGCAATCTAGAAGTCTAGGCCCTAAACTAAACAAGCCCTTCCACCCGCCTGGCACGTGGCTTGGCCCAACTCTCGCATCCAGCCTGTCTGGCCCAACACGGGTCAGCAGACAGGTTCAGGTTCTGGATGTTCTTTGGCGTTCAAGGTTTTAAGGGTTTAGGCTTTAGGGCTTGGTGAATCAAGCACGTTGGGCAAACAAGAAAGTGCTGCATGCCAGCTGCAGGGCAGCATGCCAACAAAGCTGCCTCGCTGATGGAAATTTCACAAGGGCAGCGCTACATGTTAAGTACCCTTCATACCCCTTTTGGGGGGGGGGGTCTCATTAGGGGGATTCTCTTCTATTTGGGGTAGAAAAGGGGTGCCCCTATTTTGGGAAATCATCACTGACGTCTTATATTTGTTTGGGGCGCGTCAGGCTGGACCATTTCCTAGGTGGTCAAAGCTTGCTGTTGCCCCGAAAAAAAGCCCTACGCCCCAAGAGAGTGATCCGAAAGAACTGGCCAGCTGAACCCTAAACCCTAAACCCCCTAAACCCCCTAAACCCTAAACCCAGGCCCTGGGCCCCCCCAAAGCCTCCCCAAAGCCCGGAAGCTCTGGAGTAGCTCTTGACAGGGAACCAGAGCAGTAGGTACCTTCTGTCACCTGAAAACCCTCCTAAGAAATTTGCCCCAAGGTCCGTAAGCTCTAAACCCTAAACCCTAAACCCTAAACCCTAAACCCTAAACCCTAAACCCTAAACCCTAAACCCTAAACCCTAAACCCTAAACCCTAAACCCTAAACCCTCTTCCGGGATATCCCAAGGTCCTTAGTAAGAACCGGTAAGATGTCAGCATCTTCGGCTAAGGCTGTTGGGCTGCAAACCCTCGGCCATGTGAGCCTGGCTACGCGCTAGACTACCTTAAGCTTGCTGGGTTTAGGGTTTAGGTTTTAGGCTTTAGGGTTTGGGGTTTGGGGTTTAGGGTTTGCCCTGAGCATGCCAAATCACTACGAGCATTTTGGGGATTTTAGGGGGGAGACCACAGACCAAAAATGCCAAAAAAGCCAAGAGAAGTCAGCGGTTCGGGTTGGCCCTCGCAACCTCGAGATGAAAGAGGGTTTGCCGAAATTAGGGGTACCTTATTGGGGTCCTGATTACAGGGTTTGTATGAGGGGGGATCAAACCTCCTTGCTTCATCCACACACCCATCTGCCAAGCGGATCTGGGTGCTGTGCTGTGGACACTGCTTCGCAGAGCGCTTCCCTCAAAGGGAAACAAAAAGGGAGAAGGACATCTGAGGTCCGAAAGAACCGGAAGCTGTATAGGGTTTAGGTTTAGGTTTAGGGTTTAGGGTTTAGAGTTTAGGGGAGTTTAGGGGGTTCCAGGGAGCCTCAAGGGAGTCTCAAGGCACAAGGCACGAGCCCTGTCTCAAGGCACGCGTGATGAGGAATGAGGCACCCTGCTTCCAGTAGTTCAGGGTTCAGAGGTTTAAGCGGCAACCTCACCCGGCACATCATCATCACCACCCCAGATCCTCGTTAACTTCTTGCACTTGATGCAGCCAACACCCGTAGCCCTTAAACTCTATACTATGGGACATCCTTAAACCACCGAGCTGAGGGTTTCGCTAAACCCTAAAAACCAAAACCCTTAAACCCTAAACAGGGCGAATGCTCAGATTGGAGACTTCTCGCAGCCTCTGGTTCGCAAGCTTGCCAATGAGCAGTTGCTGATACTGTGGACCAGAGCTTTCCAACCTTTTCAGGCTTGACTTGCCTGTTTAGGTCTAGGGTTTAGGGTTTAGGATTTAGGGCTTAGGGTTTAGGGTTTAGTTGTGGGTGCTTCAGAGGGTTGTAGGGTCTCATCCCGCGCTCGAATATTCGTACTTTACGACAGATTGGGGGCAAACTCCTTCTGTGACCTTAAAGCTCGACTTTAAACCCTAAACCCGAAGAATGTGGGAGCCATGTTGGTGAGGTTGTAATCCTTGGGGGAAGGGGCCGGAAGTCCTCAATTCGGGAGGGGGGGGGAGGGGGGGGGGGGGGGGGGGGGGGGGGGGGGGGGGGGGGGGGGGGGGGGGGCGGAACCTTAGGGAAGCTCAGGGAGCCTTAGAGACGTGGTGAGGAGTACTAGGGAACCTTGGGTTACATACCCCCCTTAAACCCCCCCCTAAACCCTAAACCCTAAACCAGCACCCCCAGCCAGGCTGCGAAGATGGTGGACGTGATTTCATTTGTGCTTGGCGGCATCACCGTGGTCTGGGCCTTTGGCCCCCTTTTCTCCCGAAGATTTCGGGCTTGGGGTTTAGGGTTTAGGGTTTGGGGTTTGGGGTTTAGGGTTTGGGGTTTGGGGTTTAGGGCAACCAGTTCGAGCCCCTTGGCCCCACAAGGCACAAAAGACCTAGAACGGCAAGCGGCGACTTCTAAGTGGCCCCTGCCACCAAAGCCCTCGACTCTTATACAAGCCCTTCCAGGGTTTAGGGGGTTTAGGATTTAGGGTTTAGGGTTTAGGGTTCGGTGCCTCAGGCCTTTGTGGCCCTGGTGGTACGCATGGGCGGTGACTGCATGGGGGCGGCGCACAAGCTGCAGGCACGAGACTGCGCCTGGAGGGAGATATTCTGAAGTGGGGGTTTAGGGTTTAGGGGTTAGGGGTTAGGGTCTAGGGGTTAGGGGTTTAGGTACTATAGACAATAAGGTAACCCTAATATCGTACACCCCCAAGTATATAAGGGTAGTTTCATGGTGCCTCAATGTGGTCCCCTACCCTCTTTGAAGGGTTCGGATGTATGGGCCCTTGGGTTGTGGAGGGCATATGAGGGGTATATCCTGTTCAGGGCCCATACTAAGGGACCATGTTACGGCACTTAGGGCCCGCAGAATCAACCAAGGCCCAGGATGTAGTGGTGAAGGCGACAGTGCAGATTGTTCTGAGGTGTAGGGTTTTGGGTTTATAAACCCTGCACCCTGGGGTTTAGGGTTTTGGGGTTTAGGGTGTTGTGCCCTTGGGCACTAAATTCAGGCGCAGAACTATCCTGTTTGTTGTGGCCATGTGTTGGCCCCAAACCCTCAACATCGCTAAACCCTAAACCCTAAACCCTAAACCCTAGACCGTAAATCCTAACTGGGGCCGAGTGTAAGCATAAAGCTCCGGCAATCAAGCCTCGGACCTAGAGCTTGTGGGGGTTCAGCTCAAGCCTCATGGGGAGTTGACTTGTTGGGCCGACCCGAAACCCTGAACCCTAGACCCGAGACCCTACACCCTAAATCCCAAACCCACCCCCCCAGGAGAGAGAATCTTGCGGATGGAACCCCTATATACTCAGGGGCCATCTCGGGTCTGTCTACAGTATCTCTTTTTTTCGATAGAGAGAGAGAGAGAGAGAGTTTATAGGGTTGATCTGGGGTCTTTGGGGTTAGGTGCGACCTCGAGCCTCCCAACCCCGAAGCTCGAGGAAGATCCGGCCGAACTCGTGAACCAGTTCAAGACAATGGAAGGCGCTTAGGGTTTAGGGTTTAGGGTTTAGGGTTTAGGGTTTAGGGTTTAGGGTTTAGGGTTTAGGGTTTAGGGTTTAGGGTTTAGGTCCCAGGAGCCCAAAGCCTTGTCAGCTCTCGATCGTCGCTTGCGCGGAAGCCAGCAGCTAACAATGCCAAACAACAAGCGATGATGAATCTATAGCCCCCTTTAGGGACTTCTTATTTACATTCGCTTATTTATACAAACCCAAGAGAAGATCAACAGTAGCATCAAGAGGATTCTTATTAAGGTTCTGAGGTAGGATTATGCTGATGTTGATGCTGAGAAATCACTAGGAGTAGTAGTACCAACAGGAAGAAAAAGGAAAGCAAGAATACTATTAGCAGAAACAGAAGCAGCAGCGACAACAACACTGAGTATATCGACAAGAGCTTGTCGTGGTCATAACTATGATAATTATCACTAATCCCCATGTGCCCTACGTTCTGAAGCGCTCTCTTCTCGGAAGCCCCAGAGCGCAACTGGCTAAAGACACTGATCCCGAAAGCCCTAAGCCCTAAACCCTAAGCCCTAAACCCGAAACCCTAAACCCTAAACCCTCAACCCTAAACCCTAAACCCTAAACCCCAAACCCTAAACCCTAAACCCTACTCAAGCCCGAAACACGCCCAATCTTTCAATCCACCGCAGCCGGCGTGCTCAAGTCTTCCGCCGCATTGATGGGAGCCCAAGTATCTGTTTCAGGGCTCTGTGGGGGGTAAGAGTTGAGGGATTTTAAGCCTACGCCCTAAACCCGAGCTAAGGCTCCAGAAACGTTTGCCAGTCTGCATACTTGTCTTAGCTGGTAAGTCCTGAAACCTTAAACGTTAAAGCTTCAGCCTCAAACTTCATGTAGGCGCTTGAAGGGAAGGATAGGACCCTCTCAGTTTAGAGTTTGGGGGGGTTTAGGGGGAGGGGGGTTTCGGGGGTTTAGGGTGGGAGACCGAAGATGATTTGCATCTACATGCTGTCGGGCGAGAAGGCTGCGTCGGTCTGGCCAGGCGAGGTGGTCGCCGCACATAGCGACACAGTAGGGGCGCTCAAGCGCCACGTGGGGAAGAAGGCCTGGCTTGCTTGAAGGACGAATTCAGTCGAGCTCCAAAGTTGAGAGTCATATTTCCCTGCAGGGTATGTGGAGAAAAAGCATTTCAGGCTTTTGATTTTTAGTCTCCAACGTATGGAGCAATGAAAGTTGGAAGCAGCAGGCGTTGGGCTTAGGCTAATGGTAGTTTTGGTCACGGCCAGACTGTACCGCACCTTAGGGTGTTACTAAAACCCTAAACCCTAAACCCTAAACCCTAAACCCTAAACCCTAAACCCTAAACCCTAAACCCTGAACCCTGAACCCTAAACCCTAAACCCTAAACCCTAAACCCTAAACCCTAAACCCTAAACCCTAAACCCTAAACCCTAAACCCTATCCGAGCAGTCCGTCAGCAGTCAAAGCCCCCATGGCCCAGTTGGAAGGCTTTCTACAGCATGGGCGCACCTCTGAGTTCTCAAGTTCCTGTTCCTGCATGGGCCATTATGCCCTATAAGCGCCCAAAAAAGGCCCTTTGTAGGGTTGATTTGGGGATATTAGGCTATTATACCCTATAACCCCATAAGCAGTCCCTTCATAGGGTTGATTTGGGGGGTTCTAGGACCAGCCTGGTTCTTGCCTCGCCTGGTCAGGTAGGCGTTCCCTGGCTTCGACAGCGGCTGATGCACCAGGGCCAGCTGCTCCGGGATGACCAGAAATTGACGGAGCCTGGGGAGGCCCAGTGGTACTCTTTGACCTTTTTTTTTTTGGCTATGGGTTCCCTTATAAAGTAACCAACCTTAAAAAGGGTGCCCTTATTGTAGTATGGGTACTGGGTTACCAAGGAGCTGGACACACCAGCAGATTTAGAGCTGCTTGTGGTGCCCTGCAGCCAGCCGGAGACTGGGTTGCATGGGATTTTTTGGATGAAAGCCACGGGTGTTCAGGGTTTAGGGTTCAGGGTTTAGGGTTTAGGGCTAGGGTTTAGGGTGTCGGTTCTTGAAAGGTTCAGTGGGGGCTGAGAGGCCTGGTGCTGTAAACCATACTGACTACGAAGTATGACCCTTGCGCTGGGTATCATCCTGAATATGACCCTACGTAAGAAAAAGAAAAAGCAACGAAAACACACTAAAATAGCAACACTAGTAGCAAGAATAGGTAGTAACAATAATATCAGTACAGAATATGTATATAAGACACATATATACATAATATATCCCTATATATATATATACATATAAATTGTATGTATTTGTGTGTGTGTGTGTGTGCGTGGTTTTTCTTATTCCTCTTCCTTTTTACTGTTCGAATTTTATGATTCCCATTCGTATTCTTATCTTTACTCTATTCATGTAACCCACCGGCCCAGTCACAAGGAGCGGGAGCAAGCGCGGAAGCTGACGCACGCAGCCCGGGAGGGTGCCATCGCGGAGCTGGAGTTGCTGTTGCTGTGGCAGCAGGGGGTTTAGGGTTTAGGGTTTTAGGATTTAGGGTTTAGGGTTTAGGGTTTAGGGTTTAGGAGGGTTTGGGTTTGGGGGGGGTTTGGGTTTAGGGAGTTTCCGTTCTAGTGCCTATCGGGGGATCGGGGTTGTGAATAGGGTTTAGTGAGGGTTCTTGGCTTGTGTGAGGGTATCATGGTTCAAATAGGGTATTAGTATCAGGGCTTCGGGCTTTGCATTTTTTGGGTGTAACTTCAATAAGGGGAATTTGGGGTTTCGGGTTTCGAGGTTTGGGGGCACAAGGGGTCTTCGGAGACTAGGCTTCAGGGGAGGCGGGCATGTACACCCTAGACCCTAAACCCTAAACCCGAAGCCCGAAACCCTAAACCCTAAACCCTAAACCCTAAACCCTAAACCCTAAACCCTAAACCCTAAACCCTAAACCCTAAACCCGAAACGAAGCGAAGGCTCAGCCAGCCCTTCGACCCGGACGCCCGGCATGGCAGTGACAGCACGCCACTCCAAGCTGCCTCTTCCGTTGGGCACCTTGAGGCCGTTCGCTTGCTGCTGGAGGCTGGGTCTTGCTTGGGGTTTAGGGTTTTGGGTTTTGGGTTTAGGGTTTAGGGTCTAGGGTCTAGGGTCTAGGGTTTAGGGTTTAGAGGCTGGGTCTCGCTTGGGGGTATGCTTGGAGGTTCATGGTACTTACTCTCCAAATATAGCTGTACTTAGAACTGTACTTATATCCATATTAGGGCGTTGGGGCTCATAAGTGGGTCAGAAGTACAGTTTTGATTGCTTAATAAGTACCATGAACCTCCAAGCGGAGTTTAGGGTTTTGCAGGGTTTGGTTAAGGTCGTAATCGTTGCACATGTCAACGCTGAGGGGCTCCAACGTGCTGAGTAGACGAGGTGCGAGATCGACTGGCCCGTGGGGCGCACGCGGCCGACGTGCCCCCTCCAGACCATGTTTCTTTTTGTTCTGCGCGAGGCGTGCTCGAAAATCGTGCTCTCGCCTAGGCGCGGGCGTGCTTCGTGACATCTGGGCCCTCGCAGGAAAGGCGAAACTGTCTCTCGGACGTCTGAGCTCGCGAAATACGAAACTGCCATTGCTTTTGGACTTCTGCTGCTCTCTCACTGTTTGGGCTTGTTGCTTGCGGGTTTTAGACATGTAGTGAAGTGAAACTTCGTTCTCTCCGTCGCTTCTCCCTGTACACAGGCTGGAGCCAGCAAGGACAACGTTTGTGGCGACACTCCCCTGCTCCTTGGAGATGAAATACACAAACCCTGAGTGGGCCTAGTATAATATAACAGGTAGTAGCGCCGTGATGTGCACGCCCCAAAAAAGACGATGCGTCGCTCATGAGGCCAGCCCTGCAACAGCAGATCGCCCGAGATACCCACAAAAGGGCACAGCGGGTGTTCCCTTGGTCCCTAAACCCAAACCCCAAACCCCAAACCCCAAACCCCAAACCCCAAACCCCAAACCCCAAACCCCAAACCCCAAACCCCAAACCCCAAACCCCAAAAAACAAAAAACCCCAAACCACCAAAACCTAAACCCAAACACGAAACCCTAAACCCTAAACCCTAAACCCTAAACCCTAAACCCTAAACCCTAAACCCTAAACCCTAAACCCTAAACCCTAAACCCTAAACCCCAACCCCTAAACCCTAAACCCTAAACCAAAACCCTAAACCCCAAACCCTAAACCCTAAACCCCAAACCCTAAACCCCAACCCCTAAACTTCCTAAACCCCAAAACCCCCAAACCCTAAACCCCCTCTGAAGGCTCCTGGCAGCCGACAAGGGCCACCTGGAGATTGTAGGGCTGCTGGTGGAGGCGGGCGCCAACTTGGAGAAGACGCGAGCCCTCGGGGCGTCCCCTCTGTGGCTCGCGTGCTCGGGGGGCCACAGCAAGGTGGCTTGGTGGCCCAGTGGTGCCCTTTTTTGCTTTTTTTTTTTTTTTTAGGTTTTTTGGTTCAAGGTCCTCTTCATATTCAGTAGCCAACCCAAAAAAGGGTGCCCTTGTTAGATTATAAGATGGTCAATTGCTGGGCCACGGCAAGGTTGTGAAAGTGCTTTTGGAGGCCGGAAGTACCAAGAACAAGGTGGACTCCAAAGGATCTTCCCCACTCTGGATCGCGTGCGCCAAGGGCCACCTTGAGGTCGTCTGCCTTTTGATCCTTGGTGGCCCAGTGGTGCCCTTTGCCCTTTTTTGGGGTTCAAGGTTCCCTTCTAAAGTAACCAACTCCAAAAAGGGTGCCCTTTTTGTAGTATGGTTACTGGGCTTCCAAGGATCCAAGCAGGAGCTCACTTGGAGAGGGCCAACGTCCTGGCCGAAACGCCCTTGTGGAAAGCCGCAGAGATGGGCCACACCAAGGTGGTTCATCATCTCCTCCAGGCCGGCGCGGAGAAAGACCGCGCGGATGCGCGGGGGGCTTCGCCCTTGTGGATTGCCTCGGCCAAGGGGCACCTGCCCATCGTGCGCCTGCTACGTGAGGCCGGCGCAGACCACGTCAAGCCCAACGCCCGTGGCGCCACCCCCTTGTGGATCGCCTCACACCACAAACGCCTGGAGGTGGTGAAGTTCTTAGGTGAGAAGTAAGCCTCTGCGCCATCCTGCTAGGAACCACAGCTGTTATGTGGGGTCCCGAAATGCCCCTGAACCCTAAGCCACATAAACCCAAAAAACGTGGGCCAGCAGAGAGCCCAGATTCGTCGGCTCGGACCCAAGAGCGGATCGTTTCCCGACTGCTGGCGGAAAAGGAGTTGGGGCGTGGGTTTAGGGTTTAGGGTTTAGGGTTTAGGGTTTAGGGTTTAGGGTTTAGGGTTTAGGGTTTAGGGTTTAGGGTTTAGGGTTTAGGGTTTATAGGACTTAATCATGTTGCAAGGCTTCTTCAGGCTTTCGTGCAACATCTTCATGGATTTGTTCGAGTAGTCTTGAAGGCTTTGAGGACTTCGGAGGGGTACTAGGGGGTTCTAGCTGCATTCTGTGTTCTTTGGGGGTTGATTAATTAAGGTTCCAAGGCTTATACGAGAACAGTTTCTGTGTGGTAGTTTTTCTGTTTGGTGGCGCTGGTGACGTTGTCGACGTTTGCCTTTCTAGGTTCTTTGCTGGGGGGCCCTGAAAAATCTGCTGAAAAGCTTAATTAAAAGGCTCAAGGGCCTACGTGTATTCAGAGGTTCGTTCTCTTCTGCGGGCAGATTCAGGTTTAGGGGCTTACAAGGATATCAGGTTTTCTTTTTTGGGGTGGGGGGCCGGGGGCGTCCCAAGCTCAAGGGTATGCACTGCTGCTTGTGGCCGGGTTTAGGGTTTAGGGTGCCCTGTGCCCATATAAGCCCTTTCAGCTGTGGGGATCTGATAAACCTCGTACATAGTCATTGCTTGTCATCCTTGTAGCCCTAAGCCCTAAACCCTAAACCCTAAACCGACTTGGGCTGCGGGTCTCCAGCTCCGAGACGGCATCCGCGAACCTAGGGTCCACCAAACACCTATAGGTTTGCTTTGTGGTGCTTTGCTGTAACTTGAGATCGTCCTAAAACCCTAAAACCCTAAACCCTGAACCCTCAACCCTAAAGATCCAATGCAAGACACGGGGGGTGGTCGCAGGCTCAACGCGCATGGAGGCCAAATGCTGCTGAGTGTGCGACGACAGGACGCCCACACCTGTGAGCAGCTCTTTCTTGGTTCGGGTTCGGACTTGTCGAGGTGTTTCTTGAAGGCTCTTGAGGTATTCGGTTTAAGTTTACAGGCTTTGTCCTGTATCGATCTCCACATTCGGGGGCAATTAGGGGGCGAGGGGCCTGGTTTCGGAGATTTGGCCGCATTTGAGTCTAGATTTGAAGGTCCGTTTTTGCTACGATGGCAGGGCTTGCCTGGAACGCCAATTGAGTCAGGAGGTCCGGTTTATACCCTAAACCCTGAACCCAAAACCCTAAACCCTAAACTACCTCTCATGGTGTCGGCGGTGTTTTCGATGATGACACGGCTTTCCAGGTGGGCCAAGGTAGCTTGGGACAGGGCTGGCTTTCTCAGGAGCCAGGCGTGGCCGTACTGTGTCACGCTGGCTCTCCTGGAGCAGCCCCGTCAGAGAGCTGCCAGTTTGTTGAGACATGAACTCCTATCCATAAGACCCTAAACCCTAAACCCTAAACCCTAAACCCTAAACCCTAAACCTTGCTATCTACACATGGCGTAGCATCAAGGTTTGTGAGCATGTGAATATCAGCGGCTGGCCCCAATGAACTTCATCCAGTCCGAGTGCAACTGAATAAAGTGCCCCTTTTTTTATGGCAGCAGCCCGACATGATCCTCTACCTTCCGAACCATGCAGCATGCTGGTGACTGCCAGTGCGAAGTCAAGAGCACTAGATGGACCGAACACGATAGGAAGTAGGGTTTATATTGCTGCTATTGGTGAGTGTATATAAGATGCCTTTTAATCTTGGTGAGAGAAGAAAAAAACTGCCTAGCAGCTGTCTGCGACCTTTCGAGATAGATCGACATAGCATGTACAGGGAGAAGCCCTTCCCAGAGAAAGGCTATCTCCGATCATGCGCAGGGGCTCCACCACGGAGGGTGTTTTTGTCACGAACCTGGGGTCCTATAGGGTCGATCGTAGCCCTAAACCCTAAACCCCCAAACCCTAAACCCCAAACCCTGAACCCTAAGTGCTTGGCACATGTCAGGAGTGCAAACTCCGACTCCAGGTAGTTTATAGAGGTGCGCGTAGGCGACTCAGGGGTTAGAGGCTCTCGGGTCCTAGGGGTAAGGGTTTAGGGTTTAGGGTTTAGGGTTTCGGGTTTAGGGTTTAGGGTTTAGGGCCCAAACCCAAAACCCTAAACCGCCGAGACTATTCTATTGAAAAAAGTGCCTTGTTGGGATATTTCATCTTGTCCCTTATTGGCTCAAGAAGATGATTTTTGAAGATGATACTTCGAAATTCCTGTTTGACGGGCCATCCTAGCACTAAACCCCAAACCCTAAACCCCAAACCCCAAACCCTAAACCCTAAACCCTTAACCCTACATTCTGGTTCATCCGTGTTTCTTTCTTTCTTTGATGGGTGGGTGGGTGGGGGCACCTTCTGTGCTGGAGACTCCTGCGTGGGGCTGCCCAAGAACGTTTTGGCCTGCCCTTAAGGGCTTTTTGGGTTTAGGGTTGAGGTTTAAGGTTTAGGGTTTAGGGTCTAGGGTCTAGGGTCTAGGGGTTGTAAGTACAGTTATAAGTACAATTATAGTTGGTTCATAAGTACCATGAACCGTCAAGTAGAGAGGCATAGGATCTGTAGAGATCTAAGGTCTAAGGGTAGTTACATGGGCCCTTGGGTTGTTTCGGTTGCAAACGGGGTATATAAGGGGTCCCCGTTTAAGGGCCCATACTAAGGGACCATGTCACAATCCTAAGATGAGTGGGTGTGTCCGAAATTAGGTACCTTGTTGGCGTCCTTATCACAAGGGAATCTTACTAGTTGGGGGCTCTATATTAGGGGGGGTCCCATATTTTCGGAAACCCGCAAGTGAGCAGCTTTCTGAGCAGCCGAATAGTATAGGTTCAATAGGTTGAGCCCTGAAACACTTTTGCCGTGAGCGAGTCCGAACCCCCCCTCCCCCCCGCCCCCCCAAGGGCTTATTTTAGGCTTTGGGGAGGTTCGGATAAAGGTTTAGGGTTTAGGGTTTAGGGTTTAGGGTTTAGGGTTTAGGGTTTAGGGTTTAGGGTTTAGGGTTTAGGGTTTAGGGTTTAGGGTTTAGGGTTTAGGGTTTGGGCCTTTCTTGGCGAGCCCCGTAGTCATCTGAGCTGATCTCAATCCGAAGAGGCTGAGTCTATTCCTGCAAAAAGGATGCCACCATGACTGATGGTTTTAGGGTTTCGGGTTTAGGGGTTTAGGGATTAGGGGAGAGATCTCGCTTGAATCAGATGCTGCTCCAAATTACATTGCCATGCTAGGCACTTTTTTGCCCATAAGCCTTAAACCTGACCATACGTGGCAGCCCAGTGGTACCCTTTTCCCTTTTTTGTTTCAAGACTCCATTAAAGAATTATGAAGTAACCAACCCCAAAAGGGGTGCCCACATTGTAATCTGGTTGCTGGGCTCGGTGGGATACTTGGGATTAGGCTTTTCCAAGGTTCTGCCGTTCCTTTTCCGAGGCTTTGTTCTCTGCATTTGGTTTTTCCAGACTCCGGTGTTCCAGGCCTACTCAGCACAGCTTCTCACTCAATGCCAAGGCTTCCTTTTTTGCTAAGTGGTCCTTTCCAAGGTTTTAGGGTTAGTGTCAATCACAAGTGAGTGGGGTGGCGGGCAGGTTTAAGGTTTAGCCACAGACAACCCTGCTCACCCCATTCACCCTAAACCCTAAACCCTAAACCCTAAGCCCTTGACAATACCGGCTCAACGACCTGCAGCACCAGAAGTCGGGGGAGAGCCGTATTTGACACACGTTAGAGGTTTTGGGTTTCAGGGTTTCAGATTTTAGGTCTCCGAAAGCGTAACCTATTGGAACTAAACCCTAAACCCTAAACCCTAAACCCTAAACCCTAAACCCTAAACCCTAAACCCTAAACCCTAAACCCTAAACCCTAAACCCTAAACCCTAAACCCTAAACCCTAAACCCTTCCTGGTTATGGTTGCATGTGAAGTGGAAGGGGCAAGGCCCCGGCTACCGAATCTTTCCGAAACCCTGAACCCTGAACCCTCAAACATCAGGTGGCACTTGCGAGGCCCAACATTCTATGTCATTTAAGGTTCAGCTTCCTCAGCGGTATACTTTCCGCAAAGCCCTAGGCCCTCAACCCTCAACCCTCAACCCTGAACCCTGAACCCTGAACCCTGAACCCTGAACCCTGAACCCGAAACAATTCCAAGCAGCAACCTGCCGCCGGTTTTTCGGCCATGCTTCTTGCAGGAGCCCTGGGTTCCTTTAGGATTCAGGGTTCAGGATTCAGGATTCAGGATTTAGGGTTTAGGGTTTAGGGTTCAGGGTTCAGGGTTTAGGGTTTAGGGTTTACAGTACTGGAGGGTAGTTGCATGGGCCCTTAATGTGGTCCCAAGCATCTTTGAAGGGTTCTGATGTATGGGCCCTCAACTTGGGTATAAGTGTTAAGGGCCCATACGAAGTGACCATGTAACTACCTTTAGACAGCTAGGGCTTCAGACCCGTGAGGGGGTTCTTAAGTTTCCTTGCGTGGGAGCAAGAGTCCGAGAAGACGGCAGACGACAGGTTATCGGCCATTTCCTTTGGTGGTGAGGCGTTTGGTAGCCCAGAGGTACCCTTTCCACATCTTTTGGTTACGGGTTCCCTTCTACAGTCACCAACCCCAAAAAACGAATACCCTGATGATAACATGAATACTGGGCTACCAACAAGGCTACGGCCCGAGCTGACGCCATGGCCGCTGGCCTCGTCGACAGCTGGCAAGAACCCAGAATGCTGCACATCATGACACAACCCCCTTGGTAGCCCAGTGGTACCCGTTGTGCCTTGATTTTTTGGGTTCAAGGTTCCCTTATGAAGTAACCTTCCCCAAGAAAGGGTGCCCTTGTTTGCAGATGGTTACCGGGCTGCCAAGAAACCCTAAACTCTAAACCCTAAATCCTAAAACCCT